CTTAATTTCGTGTATACATAAAATTAACAATCTCTGGTTTCCTCAGTTGGCATTATTTTTTAATTGTCTAATTTAGTAATTACCATGATTAAACTAATTTATGTGTTTATTTCACTTAACTTGAGGGCATATATGAAGCAGATGTAAATAAGACATGGATTTTTCAAGTAGTCAAAATGTAGTGAAAAGGATATGAGTATTTTGTAGAGCTGACTATCGCCTGGTATCTTGCGATATGATTTGGACTGCCGATACTACTGGTATCATGATACACCACATCGAATGGTAACAAATGATGAAGTCACTGAAATACAGCTTTAAAACCTCTCTCTTCATACATTTATTTATAGTTATCTGAAAAACATTAACAAAGAAAACCACAACATCAAAACAGTTCTAAATGAAGGATTGTTTTTAAATGTAACAGTTAGCAGGCACGTCTTTGTGTTCTGCCATGCTTACAGGTTGCGCTGTTCTACTTCTGCCATTACAGGAGGTAACTCTATCAGTTCCTGTTCTATTTATAGCGAATATGTGATCTCACAAACTGACAATTCAAGTATTGTGTGTACCTAAGTATCGATGATATTGTAGGTATCAGTGAATCATTACAACCCTAGATTTTTATCCGCCGCAGGGCCAAAATGGCCGAAGGGGGATTATGTCGTGGTGCAGTCCGTCTGTCTGTCTGTCTGTCTGTCCGTCCGTCCATCCACCCCACAGAGGGTACTAAGCTTGTGAAATCAACTCCTCCTACAGTTTCCAGAGAACATCCCTGACACGCTACACACAGGATGTAGAGATGTTGATGATGCGCATATCGCAGTCCCGTTTCATTTCGACTAATTTTGTCAGAGTTACTGCCCCTGTTTTACAGAGCTTCATTTGCCTAATTGTGAAAGAGGGTACTAAGCTTGTGAAATCAACTCCTCCTCCAGCTTTTAGAGAATATCCCCGACACTCTACACACAAGATGTTGACATGTTGATGATACGCATATCGCAGTCCAGTTTCATTTCGACTAATTTTGACAGAGTTACTGCCCCTGTTTTACAGAGCTTCATTTGCCTAATTGTGAAAGAGGGTACTAAGCTTGTGAAATCAACTCCTCCTACATTCCAGAGAATATCCCTGAAACTCTACACACAAGATGTTGACATGTTGATGATACGCATATATCGCAGTCCCATTTCATTTCGACAAATTTTGACAGAGTTACTGCCCCTGTTTTACGGAGCTTCATGAAATCTACTCCTCCTCCTGTTTCCAGAGAATATCACAATATCCAGAGCTCCTAAAAGCTGCGTATCTGCGTAAAATACGCATCAGAAATGCAGAAAGATACAGTAAAATATAATCCAAGCGTATCAAATACGCAACGAACATTACAGATACGCTACAAAAATAAAACTTGTGCGTATCATCAAAATATTGAAAAGTAACCCTGCGTATTCGATTAGCAAATCAGCAACTTATTTTGACATTATAAACAGGCATTCCGTCAACCTTGCTAAACTCCACGGTGACAGTTACATCATGATCATTTGCCATCACACTTTCTTGTGGAAGTATTGTGGTACTATTAAGTCTTATAAAGCTCTCGAATCCACACGACACCAGTTTGCCGGGACAAGATGAATTGTGTTTTTAAAACTTTAACATAAATACCCACATGTGTAAAAACTAGTGGGTAACAGAAATTTGAATACCCAGATAGAATTACTGATACCCAATGATTTTAAAATGCATGGGTAAAATACCCACAACACCAAAAGCTTATCTGGAGCTCTGATATCTAACTATAACTATAGTTAGTTTCCTTGTATAAGGCTTTTGGTTCTACTACACCAAATCAGAACCAGTTTGGACAGTGCGCTTTTGTAGGGAGCCTTCAGCGCAGATTGAGAGATATCTTCAGGCTGTGATTGGAGGATATTCTGTAAGATATATATGTCTTTCAAATGTACATCCATCCAGTTATTAAAACTGACCATGTTTTTCTATATCTTTTTTCAACATAATGACTTATGCTGAATGTGACCACAGCTATTTTCAAGTAGGTGACATTTGGTGCGAAACTGGAGGTGGTGTGTTTAGCTTCCTGTACTCGGAAAAGGAGCTGGCTAAGCTGGTCATTTTTTATGTTTTTAATGCTGCTCTAAGGCCAAACTGTGCACACACGTACAGGTAATAGCTGTTAAATGCTTAGTTATTTTTTTAGAAAATATAACGTTACTATAGAAGTCTATGGGAAAACATTTGGTTGTGTGTAACCTGTTTTGTGGGTGAGCTACATCCTTATGGCATTAGCATTCAGACTGGGTTACTCCCAACAAAATGTTCTGCACAATTTGTTTCAAATGCAGTGCCATGTACTGTTGTTATTTCATAAAATACAAAGAAAATATAAACTTGTTAAAAAAATTCTTGCGGGGGATGTTGTGCCCTCAGAGCACTCTTGTTCTTCATATGTTGATGAAGTCATGTTTGGGTGAGGTGAGGTGAGATGGGGTTTACCTTTGCGTCCAAGATTATTGCACTTACATAATGGCGTGCATGCACGTGTGTGTGTGTGGGTGTGTGTGTGGGTGCATGCTTGTACTTGTCTGGACTGATGCCGATTTACAGTGCTGTGATACCAGTTACTAAGCGCCAGACAAGGTAACAACAACCATTGTATGACACGGCTGGGGATCAAACCCACGACCTTCCTGTCTCCAGGCAGATGCTATACCACTAGACCACTAGACCACTCGGTGTTCATGGTTGTTGGACATACTTTTGTGGACATTTCAAATGAATAGAAGTTTGACACCCGGTCTGAGTCATGAACTTGTATCCAGTAAAAATACAAATGGCAATCTGCCTTAGAATTGGGAAAAAACTGTTCATCAACATGTCCATTTGCCATAGTGGAATACTGCTTCTTGTCTGTAATTCTGGTCTTTTAAAGCCCAAATCATTAATGTCTTTTGTGCACTCACTCATTGATTTGTATTTTAGAAGTGTTCACTGTGTACAGTGTCTGTGACTATATACTCAACAACAAAAGTTCCTGTGACACCAATATTTTAGTGTATTTTTCAAACAAGTAAAGTTTGGTTTTCAATATTGTAGTACATGTATGGAATCAAGTCACAAAAACGCAACTGCTACAGAAAAGCATGCATTCCATGCAAAAGATGACTTTTATGCAAGCCCCATGCATTTCACTACCCAAAAATGGATATAAAAACATGTGCTTCAAAGGGACTCCAAAACGGGATGTCTGGCGGGTCTTCTGGCAACAATCCCTGCACATCTGAGGCGGTGACATACAGTTTGTGAAGATATTCGCCTAAGGCCAGGGATGCTTCTTGTAGTCACTGTTGCTGGCTGGAACGATTTCGTAGGTTTGTTGTTCGAATCCAGTTGTCTTGTCGATTATTGGTTACGCGTGGCCTGCCACTCCGAGGTTGGTCTCTGACTGCATTCGTCTGTTGCCAATGTTGCCATAAAAACCAAATGGTGTTTCTGTGGACGTTAAATTGTCTTGCAACATCAAGTTGACTCGATCCTGCTTCAAGCATACCAATGTCTTGCACATGCTCATTTTCGGACAGGCGTGGCATTTCGTAATGTTGAATAATTGCGTAATTTTGTTGTTTTTAGGGGTTGTTGTCAGCACGATGCTAAACAATGCACATGGAATCCCATTAACGCACGTTTTTATACCAGTTCCTGGGTAGTGAAATGCATGGGGCTTGCATAAAAGTCAACTTTTACATGGAATGCATGCTTTTCTGTAGCAGTTGCGTTTTTGTGACTTGATTCAATACATGTACTACAATATTGAAAACCAACCTTTACTTGTTTGAAAAATAAACTAAAATATTGGTGTCACAGGAACTTTTGTTGTTGAGTATAGATATAAAGATATCATGATAATTAAACATAAAATTTGAGTTGCTTTACCGCACGGCATACTTGGGTTTTCTACCTTGACATTAAATAATGCTTGATATTGATTGGTTCCAAAGAGGTATCCTCTTTCCTACTGAAATCTCTCTTACATTCCGCCTTTTCACATAATAACCGTACATATGAATACACAGACCATACATATCGACCCATAATAAATGACTGCCGATAACTCTGAAAGTTCTTGCCGCCATAGTTGAATGGAGATGAACCTACTGTGTTTTGAAACTTGATGTTGTCCCACTGCAGATTAGCGGGTGCAAAAGATGATTTCTTCATTAAACATTTTTGAAAATACAAAGTCTACTTTGTCCGTCGAAGACACCCAGGTTATGAACACATCAGACCCATGACATAACCTTAACATGGACCATGTTAAGAGGAGCTGAAAATGAAATTTCAAAACCAGAGAGTTGAAGGAAAAATATCCACCACTGCCCTTAATAATCACTATCATGCATCATCCCTTCTGGTGATTACACTAAACTTGGCCCAAGTCTAATGTATCCAGTTTAACTTCCCAACTGATGATCTCTGGCCAATTTTTATATTGTGATGTTAACTAATACTTTCTGTTTTTAAATATTCTCAACTAGTTTTAAATCGAATCTGTGATATTCTAGTTACTGTACTGTATTTGTTGACAGCTTTTTTTATTTAGGCTAAATATATGTATTATTAATGTATAACTTCTCGTCATGATATGGCTGAAATACTGCCCATGTGACGTTACATATTAACTCACCTTACACACTAACTCACAATCTCACACAAAGACAAACCATACTTGCTGTAAAAGGCGACTATGCTTGTCGTAAAAGGCAACTTTGCTTTTGGTAAGAGGCGACTAACGGGATCGGGTGGTCAAGCTCATTGACTTGGTTGATGCATGCCATCGATCCCAATTGTGTTGATTGATGCTCATGATATCAATCACTGGATTGTCTGGTCCAGACTCTATTATTTACAGAAAGCCATTATATAGATAGAATATTGCTGAGTGCGGCGTTAAACAACAAACCAACCAACAAAGACGAACCTAAATGTACATAAAATCTTTCTTTATTTCAACTTATGAAAATATTACAAATTCATGAAAATAGTAAATATGCTGCACCATCCCGATTCTAAGTATCTATTCTACAACTTGAATATAACTTACAGTCACTGATGAGGTATATCGTCCAACTTCATGGAGTGTCAACAGAGAAACAAGCAATCAAACACATAATCTTCACAGCAGACATCCAGCCCCATCTTTAACTTCCATGTATCACCCTGTAGTTGAAGCCTCATTCATGAGGTGTTGGATCAGATAGTTATTTCTTCACTATAGTAAAACGAAACACTTTGCTACATACATTTGTATTTCATATAAGCAAATAATTTAGTTAGTTATTTTGTTTCTAACATGGGTGTAGTAAATTGGAAATATATAAAAAATGTCATGTTATTTATATTTTGCTATTTTGATGTCGGCAAATCCATAAAAAATTAATCACCTAATGCAATTCCAATATTCCAGATAATAATTGCATTAGTTGAATCCAACCAAGAATTTCTTTCCGAAATCAAATGCTAACTGAAAATAGTTACTTTGCCTGTGAGAGCTTTATGAATGGAATGTCTACGAAAAAATACACCCTGCCTGCTGACAACTTCCCCCTAGAGAGTGGAGGCAAGTCTACACCCTGTCTGCTGACAACTTCCCCCTAGAGAGTGGAGGCAAGTCTACACCCTGACTGCTGACAACTTCCCCCTAGAGAGTGGAGGCAAGTCTACACCCTGTCTGCTGACAACTTCCCCCTAGAGAGTGGAGGCAAGTCTATCCTTTCAGTGAGAAACTGGACCGAAATTAGAAACAGTTGACAAAATTGATCATAAGATCAGCGCAAAGACCGATATCCCTGAGGAGAAATGACATGGTTCACAGATTCGTTTTTCAGAGAATGTCGGTTAAAAAGTGTAAATCTAACGTGAAATCCCGGGTTGCGAACATTTTTTTTAAATTGTTACCTTTCACAAAGATCAAAATGAAAAGATCCCAAAATTCTTATATAAAACCTCTGCAATATTAGCACTGGGGATGGTAACAAGGCTTTGATGACAAATGGGTCCACGGTATTTATCAGAACAGAACAGAGATATGACAGACTGGATGATCCAGATTGACAGTTACTGTTTCCTGGGGAGCACAACAGTCTGGTACAGGACATCCCCATTGGCCTGGATGTAGGTCACAGTCATGTTCTGTGGGGTGGCCTCGGCGTACACAAACCCCCCCTTGGAGAAGGCATCAGCCCAGTGGAACTTGGAGGTGCTGGGGGGTACGGCATCCTTGTGGGCGGTGCTGGGGTCCACAAAGTTGGCGGAACCGGACAGGATGTAGTCCAGCGTCAGACCGTTCCTCGTCTCCTGAAGGTGCTGGAGTGAAGAGATTGGCAACATCAACCTCCACACAACATATTTTGATTATGAGTTTTTGAGTGAGAAAAAGCAGAGTTTCTACAGGGGCTCCTTCTATGTAAGCAAATGCAATTTATTGTGCAGATTTATGTCCCTTGCTTTGCAAGAATCTAACAATAATAAAACATGTCCTTGTGTGTCTCATCCAAGCTGTAAACGTCTCAGACCTGCAGCATCTTGTCCTGTTCTCGCATATTAAGCTGACATGTCATGATGTAATTGATCACTAAACAATACAAGCACCTCTCTTCCAAAATCTCCTTATATGTCTTGTGTGGGTGTGTGTTGTGTGTGTGGGTGTGAGAGAGAGAGTGTGTGGGTGTGTGTGTGTGAGAGAGAGAGAGAGAGTGTGTGTGTGTTTGTGGGTGTGAGTGAGTGTGGGTGTGTGTGAGAGAGAGAGAGAGAGGGTGTGTGAGAGAGAGTGAGTGAGTGTGTGGGTGTTACCTGCAGGTTGTGGTCATGCCCACACATATGTCCGTTAGCCCTGTACTTCTGTAGCATGGGCATTAGCCCATCAACCAGGCAGCCCGTGGGGCCGTGCTCAGCGATGGAGTACACCGGGAAGTGGCCAGTAGTGAACAGGTAGGTGGCCCTGGAACACCGGCACAGTACATGATGTTCACACTTCTAACATATAATAACACATATATATAACCCCTCTAGTCTTCCAATCAATTACATCCTAACACAAACCACCCCATGCTTGCCGTAAGAGGCAACTATGCAAGTTGAAAGAGGCGACTAACGGGATCGGGTGGCCAGGCTCGCTGACTTGGTTCATGCATGTCATAGGATCCCAATTGTGTGGATCGATTCTCATGATGTCAATCACTGAATTGTCTGGTCCAAACCGTCATATAGATGGAATATTGTTAAACAACAAACAAACCATGAAGTAATCATCCCCATCCATCATAAATTGACAACATATTCACTGACCCATGTAAGTATATCAAGCATGAAATACTCGCATCCCCCGCCAATATGACATGTCGGGTGTGTGCAATGCATTAGCTCCTGTGAACTATGTTCACTGGGCCTTTTTGTAAAGAAATATAGTACTGCTCCGGAAACGAGGAATACCGCCATTTTCAGTCTAAATCAAAGTCGGTGCCATGGAAACTCGAAAAATGCCTTTTTAAAAAAATCCCAAAATATCCAAAGGCACCAGTTCACCACTAGGCCTATCAATGTGCAAAATATGGTGAAGAAAAATGGTACGGTTTTTCAAGATCTGCTCCGGAAACGAGGACTACTGCCATTTTCAGTCTAAATCATAGTCGTTGCCATGGAAACTCGAAAAATAACCTTTTTTTAAATCCCAAACTATCAAAAGGCACCAGTTTACCACTAGATCTATCTATGTGCCAAGTTTGGTGAAGAAATATGGTATGTTTTTCAAGATCTGATTCGGAAACGAGGACTACCGCCATTTTCAGTCTAAATCAAAGTTGTTGCCATGGAAACTCGAAAAATAACTTTTTTAAAAATCCCAAACTATCAAAAGGCACTAGTTCACCACTAGATCTATCTATGTGCCAAGTTTGGTGAAGAAATGTGGTACGATTTTCAAGATCTGCTCTGGAAACGAAATGTGACGGACGGACGGACGGACGGACGGCACCCATTCCTCTATCCCCCTTCCACTTCGTGGCGGGGGATAATAATAATAACAACAACTGTTATTACCCCCGTCACTGGATCAGTGTGCTCTCAAGTAACGTTCTCGGCTCCCTGGGGATTATACAACCTAAGCTGCCTGTTAGGCACTTAATGTTTAACAACCACATTGACATCTCATACTACCAAGTACCCATTCTCTGCTGCGTGAACAGAGGCACATTTCAAACAAAGTCACTTATCCAAGGAGTCTTAAACTGACAACATATCTTGTATGTTCTATGTTGTATATCACCCAGTCTTGTAAGTTCTATATTGTATATCACCCAGTCTTCTGTGTTCTATGTTGTATATCACTCAGTCTTGTATTGTCTATAATGTATCTCACCCAGTAGTCGTGTATGTTCTATATTGTATATCACCCAGTCTTGTATGTTCTATAGTGTATAGCACCCAGTCTTGTATGTTCTATAGTGTATATCACCCAGTCGTGTATTGTCTATAATGTATCTCACCCAGTAGTCATGTATGTTCTATATTGTGTATCACCCAGACTTGTATGTTCTATATTGTATATCACCCAGTAGTTGTGTATGTTCTATATTGTATATCACCCAGTCTTCTATGTTCTATATTGTACATCACACAGACTTGTATGTTCTATATTGTATATCACCCAGTAGTCTTGTATGTTCTATATTGTATATCACCCAGTAGTCGTGTATGTTCTATATTGTATATCACACAGACTTGCATGTTCTATATTCTATATCACCCAGTAGTCGTTTATGTTCTATATTGTATATCACCCAGGTATCTTGACAGTCGCCTTACCTGATTTTTGCGTCAAAATATCTGATAATGATACAGATATAAGATGATTTGGGTGGAGAATACTTTTCAGCAACTTGCTGTTCTGATGCATGCGCAGCTATATATATGTTCTATATTGTATATCACTCAGTTTTGTATGTTCTATATTGTATATCACCCAGTCTTGTATGTTCTATATTGTATATCACCCATTAGTCGTGTATGTTCTATATTGTATATCACCCAGTCTTGTATGTTCTATGTTGTATATCACTGTTTTGTATGTTCTATATTGTATATCACCCAGACTTGTATTGTTTTTATTGTATATCACCCATTAGTCGTGTATGTTCTATATTGTATATCACCCAGACTTGTATGTTCTATATTGTATATCACCTAGTAGTTGTGTATGTTCTATATTGTATATCACTCAGTCTTGTATGTTCTACATTGTATATCACTCAGTTTTGTTTGTTCTATATTGTATATCACTCAGTCTTGTATGTTCTATATTGTATATCACCCAGTCTTGTATGTTCTATATTGTAAATCACCCAGTCTGGTAAGTTCTATATTGTATACTAGCCACATAAAGAGACTGTGCACGGAGAAAATATAGATATAAGGGCACACTGTCCATATATGAAAGATAGGTTTGAACACAGCAATTATTGGAGACATTCAAACGCTCATGCACGTGCCATGCGATATGACGTCATTAATGGGGGCCTATGGACGTGCAATGTGTTACTGCACATGCATCCTGTGCAGCTGTACACAAAATGAGCAACTCAAAATCCGCTGTCACTTTGGAAAGCATGATCTGTGGTCATTCAAAAATTCAAAACTTCTCAGGCGCAGATACAAGCATATCACAAGCAAATCATGCCAAGATTGACAGCTGCACAGCGTCATGAAGCCATTGGAATGATCCGAGCAGGAATGAGGCAACAACAGGTGGCAACACATTTCCAATGCCATCGTAACACGATATCGGCATTGGTGAGGCATTATCAGAACACAAATGACGTTGCCGACCACCCACGTTCAGGACGTCCCCGAGTAACGACGCCAAGACAGGACAGATGGATTCGAGTTACACATCTCCGACACAGGTTCCAAACGGCAGTAACGACATCCCAGACAATTCCTGGACTGCGCCGTATCCATCCCAACACTGTCAGGAATCGTTTACGTCAGTACGGGATTCGACCACGACGCCCTGCCATACGTCCCATCCTGACACACCGTCATCGAGTCAACCGTCTAAGATGGTGTCGAAATCATGTTCGCCAAACTCGAATATGGTGGAGAAATGTTGTCTTTACAGATGAATCGAGGTTCAACATTTCCCACAGTGACGGGCGCCAACGTGTCTACCGGCGTTTGGGAGAACGTTATGCATGCAACTGTATTGTGGAGAGGAATCGTTTTGGAGGTAGCTCTGTGATGATTTGGGCTGGGATAACAGCACGGCACCGAACCCCTTTGGTGGTTGCTCAGGGCAATCTCACCAGGGTTGGCTACAGAGATCAGATTCTGAGGCCTGTGGTCATTCCTTTCCTGCAACGTCATGGCCCGGGATTGACATTTCAACAGGACAACGCTCGTCCTCACACGGCTAGGGTCGCAATGGTTTTCCTTCACCATAACAATGTCATGTTACTGCCATGGCCTGCAATTTCTCCAGATCTCTCCCCAACAGAGCATGTGTGGGATGAAATGGAGCGCCGTCTGCGTCGTCTTCCACATCCTCCAGATAACGTCCGTGACTTGGCACAGGATTTGAGGAGGATATGGCAGGCCATTCCCCAGGCCTTCCATGCCCATTTGGTGGACTCCATGCGTCGCCGATGCACTGCTGTGATTCACGCACAGGGTGGTCATACCCGTTATTGACTTTGTGACTTTGTCGTTTGACCCCCTACTCCATTTTGATCTTCTGACGTCATCGTAACAGATGTTGTTCAGGTCCCGTTGACATTTTCTTATGGTCCGATCATTCAGCTGCTACAGCATCTGCATCATTTTGTTCTTGCTGTGTTGTATTTCAATCCAGAATATATTTTCTCCGTGCACAGTTTCTTTATGTGTCTAGTATATATCACCCAGTCTTGAATGTTCCATATTGTATATCACTCAGTCTTGTTTGTTCTATAGTGTATATCACCGAGTCTTGTGTGTTCTATATCGCATATCATGCAGTCTTGTATGTTCTATGTTGTATATCACCTGGTCTTGTATGTTCTATCATGCATATCACTCAGTCTTGTATTGTCTATATTGTATATCACCCGGTAGTCATGTATGTTCTATATTGTATATCACTCAGTCTTGTATGTTCTATGTTGCATATCACTCAGTCTTGTATGTTCTATATTGTATATAACGCAGACTTGTATTGTCTACATTGTATATCACCCAGTGGTCGTGTATGTTCTATATTGTATATCACTCAGTCTTGTATGTTCTATGTTGCATATCACTCAGTCTTGTATGTTCTATATTGTATATCACCCAGACTTGTATTGTCTATATTGTATATCACCCGGTAGTCGTGTATGTTCTATATTGTATATCACTCAGTCTTGTATGTTCTATGTTGCATATCACTCAGTCTTGTATGTTCTATATTGTATATCACCCAGACTTGTATTGTCTATATTGTATATCACCCTGTAGTCCTGTATGTTCTATATTGTATATCACTCAGTCTTGTATGTTCTATGTTGCATATCACTCAGTCTTGTATTGTCTATATTGTATATCACCAAGTAGTCATGTATGTTCTATATTGTATATCACCAAGTAGTCGTGTATGTTCTATATTGTATATCACCCAGTCTTGTATGTTCTATGTTGCATATCACTCAGTCTTGTATTGTCTATATTGTATATCACCCAGTAGTCATGTATGTTCTATATTGTATATCACCCAGACTTGTAGCAATGCTTCACTAACTCTGCTTGGGCTGCCCATTGTTTGTTGATTAATCGGACACTCAGTCAATCAGCACTGGTGCACTTGTGTAAGTTCTTCTTCACATTTCTACACATTTTGGACACTTGATTTTAAGCAAAACCCAAAATCATCTTCGTGATTCACTAACATGAGTCCATTGTAGGTATCTTCACAGTCACCTTACCTGATTTTTTGCATCACAATATCTGATAATGATACAGGTATAAGATGATTTGGGTGGAGAAGACTTTTCAGCGACTTGCTGTTCTGATGCATGCGCAGCTATATATATGTTCTATGTAGTACATTGTATATCACCCAGTTTTGTATGTTCTATATTGTATATCACCCAGTTTTGTATGTTCTATAGTGTATATCACCCAGTCGTGTATGTTCTATATTATATATCACCCAGTCTTGTATGTTCTACATTGTACATCACCCAGTCTTGTATGTTCTATATTGTAAATCACCCGGTCTTGTATGTTCTATATTGTATATCTCCCAGTCTGGTAAGTTCTATGTTGCATATCACCCAGTCGTGTATGTTCTATGTAACATATCATACAGTCCTAAATGTTCTATGTTGTATATCACCCAGTCTTGTATGTTCTATGTTGCATATCACCCAGTCCTGTATGTTCTATACAGCATACCTCCCATCCTTATATGTTGCATGTAGCATATCACCCAGCTTTGAATGTTCTATGTTGCATATAACCCAGCTTTGCATGTTCTATGGAGCCATACACATTGTATATAAAACCCAAGCTAATATGTACTATGTTCTATATCACCCTGTCTTGTTTTCTCTATGAAGCCACATGTCATACATCACCCCAATTAATATGTTCTATGTTTCATGTCACGCAATCTAACATTTCCTATGTTTTGCTTGTGTTGATGGTGCCATGCATGTTGTATATCACCTACTTGCTGGCTGCTAGCGTCTTGTCAATCCACTGCCACTGTGTTTCCGCGAATGCAATGTCCACTGGACCCTGGGGCTGCAGTCCATGGAAGTCATCAGCGACGTTGCCGCACAGTGTCACAGTGTCGGTCATAACAAAGTCTATAGTGGCGTCACTGTTCGGGATGTCGAAACTCAGTGGGTAGTAAAAGTTGGGATAGTTCCTGAAAACAACACTTCATTTCAAGAGTATGGTACTACCTCAGAAAATTGAATTGTTACAAATATATTGATTAAGAATCATCATTATCATCATCATCATCATCATCATCATAATAGTTCATGGATAAGATAGAAACAGTTATGGTTTGTTTTTTTGTTGTTGTTTAACGTTGCACTCAGCAATATTCCAGCTATATGACGGCAGTCTGTAAATCATTAGGTCTGGACCAGACAATCCAGTGACTGACGCATGTGCATCAATCCACTCAATTGGTATACGATGACATGCATAACCAAGTCAGAAAGCCTGACCACCCCATCACGTTAGTCACCTCGTAAGACAAGCATAGTCGCCTTTTAATAGGTGTACATGTCTTGCAAAGAAAGCATGACAATAATTCACACACCATCGTTTGGAGACTTGAGAGTAGGCAATCTGTGCTGACACGTTTCCATTGTGATCATGGTTTCCTGCCACAAAGTACCACGGGACTTGCAGAGATGGCGCTGTGTACACTTGCTCAAACGTGAACTGTTTCCAACAATAACATTCATGGTTATCTTACTGTTTGGTCAGTGAACATTAGCGCTGGCTATCGATATATACCTTAGAGATCGATAATTGGTAACAAAATAACGATCAATTATCAATATATATCGGAGAAGTAACTTTGAGCAAATATGCAGAAAGCTTAGAAACAAAACAACATGTTTCACATCACTGGTGAATGGGGACACATTTATGCACGGATTACTTTGTGAACTATTAAGATATAACAAAATGAGTTGCTTCCCGCTTTGGGCAATGGTAAAAAATTTGTCTGCCTCGGTAAAATAAAACCTTATTTCATCACACTTTTCATATCGATAATCGTTAATATTTCTTCTCATCGACAATAATTCTGATTATCAATCTTTTTCGCCAGCCCCAGTAAACATGGTAAACATAGGACTGTTTCTTCACTTCTAAGCAAGTAAACATGTTAAATAGTGACTTGAGTATGTCGAATATGATTTAAGATTTGTGTAAATTGTAATTAATAAAATGCTGCAGTTGCAGAAACAAGTGCCCTAGACTAGGGCTGGGATGGGTAACTCAGGTACCTGGGTCAGGTGGGCATTGAGTAGGACCCGGGTACCCACAGGACTACCCAGACCCGTGGTTAGTCATGTGATGTATATTTTTATGAGAAAAAGTATCTAGAACTCTGTGGTTACACTACAAGTCAGTAATGTTCCCATTTCTTTCTGACTATGCACCCATTCCTTCTGACTTTTCATAAGTTCAAATAAAGATATAACTTTAGTCAACTTCAGTGTATGCATGACCAGATTGTTTAATTCATGTATCTAACTATGGGCTAAGGTAAAGAAAATGCCAATATCGAACATTTTGTACCTAACTCTTGAGACCTTCAGTGGGTACACCCGGGTAGTATATTTGGACTCATCCCTGCCCTACCCCAGACTGACCATAAGCTCGGTGCTGTGACTAAGTCTGACCTTGAACCGAGGGTCGTCAACAGTCTTCACCCCATCATAGTAGAAGTTATCCCCCAGCTCCATGATGAACGAGACTCCGTACTTGTCAGCAATAGTAGCCATCTCCACCGACGTTCCGAGTTCCACGGAGGTTACATATGGGTAGGTAGGGAGTCCCCCCATGTCACCAATCACCAGGAAGCGCAGGCTATCAACAGCCAAGCTCCCTGTATTGTTACAAAACATCAATACACATGTTGACACAAGGACATACCTGCCATTACCATGTTGTAGTATTTCATGATCCGTACATAGATAAAGCTATTTATTTACAGCACTCGTAAACATACACATAAATTAATATATGCTTTTGTTCTGTTTTTCATTACAACTTTAGTCATAAAGTTATTTTTATTCCCTCTACAACAAAAGAGTTAGGAGAAAAAGATTAAACTAAATCAGCTCCAAACAGCTTTTTTAATCTTGAATAAGAACTAGAGTTTGTTTATTCAACTCTCGCATGTTTGGGACTTGTGACAACACTCTCCTGTGCATTTCGATTTCCCCCTGATGCCAACACACATATTTTCAAAAAACATCATTAACAGTAATTATGTGTCCAAATTTACATTCAAACAATTTTAAACTTGTATTTCAGAACCATGACAGAATCAAAGTTGTATTTGTTGACGTTGTGAGTGCTTCATGGTAAATTTGCTCACGTGATGCACTGTCTTCAACAGCTGAGAGACTTGTGAAATGAATAAATGCCAGCTTAAATAGACGCCAGGTCAAAATCAACATTTATTTCCCAACATATTTCTTTTGGCACTCAATAAAGCTGTATTGAATCGAAAGCATTTACCTTACAAAATGCAAACCACACACGTTTTCTTCAAATTACAAGTCCCATACCATGTTATTTAAAAGGTGTTTACTGTATCAACCAACAGACACCAGTCTTGAATGGACGCTTGGATATTTTAAGTTGACAGATGACAAAGTAGACACAATTCATGAATAACGACTTCTTTATTTACTGTAAAGGCGATATTTCGGTAAATATACAGTTGCCAAGCAAGGCTACTACCATTGCTAACACAGCATTTCACTTTGACCAGTGCCAATTGTGGGTTTGTTCCATGATACGACACACGCACCCCTCGCTAAAAATAGCCACTGTCACATGTCGCAGTAATACTGTAGGCCTACATCTGAACGTCAACAAAAGCTTACCTGTGACACAGACAAAAATTATAGACACGATGCTAGTTATTCTTGCCATGGCGTCTCTTCAACTGCTTGTGTTCAAGTGACACAACCCACACGCTATCACGATAACGGGCTGTCAATCAAACACTTGACCAAGTTCAAAATCCAAACTTGTTTATGGACAGTCACGTTACGTCCGCCATGTTGGACATCACATGACACGGTCACGTGGTACAGCATCACGCCATTTTCAAACAACTTCTGTTTGTGGTCGAAGAATGGATTATGTGGTTCTTGGAGTTCTCGGAAAATTCAATCGCTACTGATCTTCCGAGAAAATTTAATACAACTACTACAAATAGTGCCACATAAAGGATTTAGATAAGAACAGCTTATGATACCTGAGGCGCAGCTTTTCTCCAACAAATCATTGATTGATAGAAGAATATTTTGGTGAATTTTAAATTGGGCAATAAGGATAAAACTAAATAGGTAGGAATGTGTGATACCGTAAAAATCTTCTCTTTTTTTATAAAATCGATTTATTTTCATATTTTTGATAGGTACGCATTGGAGAATCTATCTTCCCTCTCCCGGTGTAAACATCCGTTCCGACATTTGGAAGTCCTGTTCTCAGTTATTTCATCCATACAGAGGCGAACAGTGACAACCAAAACTTTAAATAAGCCAAATAAATAGCATCAAATGTCCGTACTTCGTGTTTTGCCTTGTAAAAGAAGCCAGATATCCACTATCAATCTATCTAGGTGGTAAGTCAGTATCTGAAATATGTCATTTTGAATATCGCAACGAAAATTCGTTGGGTACGTCATATGTTCGCACCAGAAAGTTGTCAATTTTGACTTTTAAATTTTTTCGCTTTGTTAATATTAATTGTTACGCTTGTAAACGACGGACGGTAATTTTAACTTATGCCTCTATCAATTCTGAAATGAATGTTTAAAGAAAACATCCGTATATTAGTCAAATTAGCCCTGCTACCTTGGAACGTTTTACAACTCACGTGGTCAAAACATGACAATGTCGTTTCTTTCTATGTACACTGGCGTGTCAAACAAATGGGAGTTAACTAAAGACTTGAGCAGTCATTGTACATGGTACAATTAATGATCTTCACGTCTTTATTTTATATCACATTTTGTTCAAATTGGGCCCCATTAAGAATCATTCGCGAAATTTCAGTAAAATGCCTGACATAGTATCTCATCTTGAAAGCAAAATACGAAATAGTCGTTATATACAGATCTATAAAAGTAAATTATGCCATTCTCTCTCAGGTTTTTTGATGATTCGGGTTAGATGAAGGAAATACAATTAATGTGCTTCATGACAAACGCTGTGACCTCTGATTGACTTATCAGAATCTAGTAATTTAAAACATCACGGTAAAATTGTTATTGAACGCCTGCTATATAATACGGCCGCGTGTAAATAATTAAACCTGAATTCGACAATCCAGTATTTGATAGTATTAGTGACGATCCACGCAGCCGGGGCACAATTCAAACACGTCAGCGAGACGACACCTGATCCGAAACGTGGCCACTTTTTTCCATCATAGGCGGCCGGGACCTATTGTATCCCAGAAATGCCGCGGTGTTACTGTATAATTATCATATATTGTAACATAAAAGTAGGTATGTTCCCTGATCTGATTGGTTAAAAAGTGTTGTCGAATGAGCATAACATCGCTGAATTTTTGGGGTCTCATCATAGTGTATGTATACATTAATTAATAGAACTATTTTTGAAATCATCAACATGGAGGAACAGATGGAAATTTACCCTGACTTCCACATCGGAGATTTCGATGAAATATTGAGTGAATGGGGCGACGTGACATTTTCTGAGATAATTCAAGAATTTGAAGGTAAATGAAATTTACCTTTTTCCATTAATTACAAAATCATAATCATAATTAATGTAATTTTCTTGGGCTTGGCCAAAGGAAAAAACAAAACAAAATCAATTTTTAACAGAGTAAAAAACATTTATTGCAACTCTATAATAGTTATGACTTTCATACACCCACCTAATTTTGTTATTATTATAACCCACAACAGCTGTTGAAGCTGGAAACCGTTCTGAGATGGCCCCTGAACTAGGAAATACAGCCAGCGTTTCCGTAGAGCCCAAAGTTCAAGCGTCCAGTCACCGCTTCGCGTCCCTTGATGAAAAAGCAGTACAGGACATCGTGGATGGGAACCTCTCCAAATCTACTGGGAGTTAAAATATTTCGACGTAAGCCATTGAAACATAAATGAATACATAAACACATACCAAAATTTCCTACGCAGATTCGATCAACATCAGCGAGAGTTACCTCCCTTACACCATTGCCATACAAGCTCCTTCCCAGCGCGTGACACCTTCGTTACACTCTCGGTAACATCGCTGCCACCAGTGTGGGCGCGGCCATTACAAGAATCTTGAAATTTGCCCTCTAACCCCAAATGTAGTAACGTTGATACTTTTGTTTATGTCTTTGGGAATGCCGTCATATTTCATTTTCAAAAGGTGTACGACTGACCATGTTTTCCAGATGAATTTACTTTGTTATCTTAATAATCAGATTGGTTCGAGATTGCAGACTAACGGAAAATCAACCAACTTCTCCCTTACATTCTTACTATATCAATAACACGATAGTTTTAATGAAACAGAAATTCAAATTGACAAACGAAGAAAATAATTTAGCAGCGATAAGTGTATTCGGCGTCACGACAGTCGTCGCTTGTTTGTAAACATAACGGTCATTCGGTTGCGAGTTCAACTCCAAGCATGGTTGTGGCCACCTATTCACAGTGGGGAGTTTTGACTGGTGGCAGCGATAGTATAGAGAGCTCCGCGAACGGGCTATCGCTGTGAGGAGCTTGATTGCCATAATAGCATGGTAAAGCGTGACCAATGTGTCATCGCAAAAATTGGCAATAATATAACGAGATTGACCAAAATCTTAACATAAATTAAATATTTCATTTTGTAAGATTTGAGATATGTTATACTAAATGGATATACGGAAATTTCATTTAAACACGACACCGTAATAATAACGAATTACTCCCACTTACCGTCACATTTGTACCCTGAACAAGGCAATCTTTTCACTTCCAGAAAGGCTTGGTTTCCGAGGTTTTGAACGCACGTTCGAAGAGCTTCCTGCTTTTCAACTGAATGAGAGACTGAGATTCTTTTATGCCGAAGTCAGAAATGCTGAGAGAGACCTTTACTCAAAATCGAGTTTTGTTGGGTTGAGTGCTGCCATACACAGCCACATCAGGGGACCGCCATTTGAGCGCAGCATAAACATTATCCAAGACCGGGAATTTCACACTGCAAACTGCCGTCACTTTGCTGTCAAACGCAGGTATTGAAAATCGCGAGATTTGCAGAATTACCGGCCACAAAACCGATGAATCGTTGAAGTCGTATTCCATTGACTCGAGCCCGTCTCAAAAACGACATTATTCGAACATTTTTCAGGGACAGCAGCAGCTCGCTAACGAACGTAATTTGGTACCTGTCAAAGATACAAATATCCTGCCACTGTCCACTGCTCCCGTGAATAATTTCCAGGTTAATTCTTCTGCTAATTTCCACGGTCTCTCTCACATATGTTATTCCACTGTAACAGTAAACAACTTTTTCAATCCCAGCTAAGCTGCATGTCTGAAATTTCGCACATGTTTGACGTCTCTTGTCACCACCTCAGTTTCAGGCGAGTTGACACTATCTTGTACAGGGGCCAAACAGTATGTACATCTTTTCTAATTTTGATTATTTGTATTTCATAGATACGCATAACTACAAATTACAAGTAAGATGGGGGAACTGTGATAAAGAATTGAATTTGTGATATTTCCTGTTGTTTGTTTATTTTCTGAGAAATGGGCTTGAACATGTGACCACCCCTTTCTTAAAATGGATCCTCATTATTGGAGTACCTCGAAACCATTGATCGGTTTCGCGGCACCCCATATCATGCATCTTTTCGAAGGTGAGCACGAGGAGACGTATTACTAACGACAGTCTTGTTGTGTCATGCGCTCAGTAAATTAGTTCCTCCTAAATATCGATTTTAATTAACGTTCATGTTACAATGTCGATAAATATTACGGCGTCGTGTTCAAATGAAATTTCCGTACATCCATTCATCATAACATCACGCAAATCTTACAAAACGAAATATTTATCTCCTAAATGGATAGGCTTCTCGGCAGGATAATGCCAACGGATTAAAACGATATCCGTTGGAGTCATATGCGGATAGAGAAGGTCAAGTTGGGACTACTTTCAGTGTTTATAAACAAACACGGCGTCGCCCTTGTCATTTGGCGATCGAGTCAGAATTAACCATCGGGAATCTGGATAATCTAAATGGATAATTGCTATCATTATCAAAAGAACAGTCTAATATACTGAAAATCAGTGTCTAACTGTGACGTTGCTAAGGCATTTTATAAGTTTTAGCAACTCTGGAGATATAAATTTCGAAACAATTTTGCGAGGGCACGGGGCCTAGCTAAGCGGGATCAGTAGCCATATCTGTGCTTGTAGACCTCGGTGGCTTGAAACCTTTTCCACAGATTCAAATAGTTGATTTGGCCGAAATATATTTGAATTGTTACCTTGTTACGTTTTGTCGCTGTGTGTACATCTGACTGCACTTAACGTTATGCCAGGACAGACGTCAACAACGTCTGAACGTGGCCGTGACGCCTCATAGACTAGGGTAAGAATAGCTTCCCTTTGACAAAGGGCAGTTACTCTAGCGGGCAGACCGGTTGATTGCCGCGAAAGACAAGTAAAAACAATTGTTTTGCGTATATATGTTGCTTCGCCACTGTATAAGAAACCCATTTTAGTTGGAACTATATTGGCTACTGTCACTGTCCGACTGACACATCACTTACCCTGTGACGTAATAAATATTAATGCGCGCATTCCAGGAAACCTCGCAAATGTTTCGGTAATGTTTGTGCGAGAGGGAAAGCGATTTTCAATCACAGAATTAAAGAATGACCTTATATGATAAAGACATTATCACGTTTGTGTGTTTGGGGGTTGTTAATTTCCTGTACTAGGAATAAACACTATGTATTTAGCTCGCCAAAGCTCGCTAAATACAATATTTATTCCTAATGCTCGCCAAAACTCGCTAAATACAACGTTTATTCCTAATGCAGGACATTTACCATCCCCAAACACACTCGCGTGATAACCTCTACCCACGTGGTAAAGATACAGGTGGTTGACCTTGTTTTATTCGTTTTGATTGGATAACCGTGACCTCTGTCACGCCGGGACTACTTTTTTCATTCATGAAAAATCGCCAGACGTCATTCATTTTGCAATTATAAGGCAGAACTGAAGGTATTTACAAACACTTTATTAAACCAATTAAGTTAGTCACACGCATCAAATTCCGTTTGCACTCTATATAGGTTATGCATAGAGCTTCTACAGACATAACATAATCGAGCTATTGCCTTTTACAATGTACGACTACCGATCCATAGCTCGAGGGTCCTATGAGACTACCAGATCACTCAAAGTGAACATTTCCGACACAGATCATTCGAAGTGTGCCTGACTTCTGATTATGTGGCCCAAAATATCCCAAATGTGAACATTAACATTCCCCATCTCTAGCATAAAACGCTGTGAGTAGATCAGGGTTGTCTTTTCGTATTCTGGTGGTGACCTTGCCCTTAGTTTGAAGCTGCAGCAATGAAATTGCATCACAATGCTAGGCAGACCATTTTGACGTCATTGTAACCATGACGTCACAATCAAATGACATCACTAATGGCTCAGCTACTGAGGCTGTCAGCAGTACTTTTTACACTTAGCCACTGCTTATTACTGTCTCCAAACTGAAATAGTTGGAAGAATGATGTTGGATGATAAATAAAATCTCACCTCATGTCTTTGGATACCAAATATAACAACACTCGTTGATAAAAGTGGGGAAACTCGCCGGCACAGCCTTGGAGTTTTTCCACTTTTATCAACTCGTGTTAATATATATATGATATCAAAAGACACTCAGGTGATATTCTCTATGTAATATAATGGTCTGCAGTGACACACAGCCCAACTGACCTAGTTGATACTGCCTGTATGTTGATGATCAATGTGTGATATGGGAAGATCGTATCTTTGTACTCGATCGGAGATGTCAGCAGTGCCTTTGGCGTGGTCCAAACGTGGCTAGATAGATACAGTACTCGTCTAAACTAACCTCCCTCGATGGTGATCCGGTCCAGACACGTCGTCACTATCCGATAGCGAGACTATCCGATCATATGCACCCGATCACAAGTGCCCCATCACATTGATCAGATCGCATTGGCCAGATCACATGGTCCACATGATATGGACCGGATCACATTTGCACCACATGATATAGATTCGACACATGAACCCAAACACATTGACCAGAGCATATGGACCAGATCATTTAGAGCAGTTCAAATACATCCGATCGTATGAGTAGATGGACCACATTATGTGGTCCCGTGCACATGGACAATATACACCAGACCACATCGACCTGATCATCTACACCCGATCACATGGACCAGACCATATACACCCGATCACATGGACCAGACCATATACACCCGATCACATAGACCAGACCATATACACCCGATCACATGGACCTGATCATCTACAACCGATCGCGATCACATGGACCAGACCATATACACCCGATCACAAGAACCCGATCACATGGACCAGATCATATACACCCGATCACATGGACCAGACCATATACACCCGATCACAAAACCCGATCACATGGACCAGACCATATACACCCGATCACAAGAACCCGATCACATGGACCAGACCATATACACCCAACTACAAGAACTCGATCACATGGACCAGACCATATACACCCGATCACAAGAACCGACCACATGGACCAGATCATATACACCCGATCACATAGGCCAGATCATATCCTCCCGATCACAAGAACCCAATCTCATGGACCAGACCATATACACCCGATCGCAAGGACCCGATCACATGGACCTGCACATATACACCCGATCCGATGGACGCGCACATATACACCCGATCGCAAGGACCCGATCACATTTGGACCACATCATATAGATTCGTTCATATGAGCACAGAAGTACAGGGCTAACGGACATATGTGTGGGCACGACCACAACCTGCAGGTAACACACACACACACACACACACACACACACACACACACACATATATATATATTATCCTGTTAGAATTAAGAGTTACCGCAGAACTGATACTGTATCTATCAATTTCTTGTCCCCCCCCCCCCCCCCCCCCCCCCCCCCCCAGTGTCAAAGTGTCTAAAACAGAAGAAACAAACATGTTTCTGTGAGGGTTACAGTCAATCAATGTAGCAAACTGGTTGTCTCTCAGGGGGGCCATGTTGGTTTGTTGTTGCAGTTCGCTGTCACTTATCCACTTGTTTTGTGGCTACAATTAATGTCGAGGTTGGCATGTCTGAGCACAACAGAATTTCTGGAGGGTCTTTTCCTCATGAATCACACACATGACCCTTTCGGGACATATAAGCCTTTGGATTCAATTAGTTCCGAGGCATCATCTAAGTTGACCTCAGCCGCTGAACGACTAAGCTGTTGAACCCTTACTTTCAAGTGGTGTGTGCATATGCCCATTTCAGCTGTGGGCACTAGCTCAAAATTCAGCTGAGCTGTACTGTGGACTATTGTTTGACACAATCCTTGAATCATGTAGATTTCACTCCTCGATCTGGGGTTCAACATGATCACAGTCTAAAAATAGCAACTGCAACAATTTACTACCAGAAGAAAATCCTGGTCAACCATTAGAAACGTGTGGCAAGTACATGCTGTGATATGTACATCTGTATGTCCAAAGGCCTCCATGTAAGAGACATGAGGATATCTAGCACCATATATTTATGAATTCGAATTATCAACTTTGACAAATGTTTAAAGGTGAAATTGTCAGTTTCTTATGGAAAGTCACGGAAGAAATGCATCTAGATCTATCAGTGGAGACAAGAAGATAACTCGATAGTTGCTATTCAGTGACCGCTGAGGTGACAGAGGTGTCTGCCATCCACATGGTTGATACACCTACCCTTGAGACTCTCTCATTTTTTAAATATGGCCTCACACTGAATACTTTACAGAACAAATATTTCATTTATGTAGAAATAGATGTAATCTACTCTCTGTACGAACTGCAGTTTGGCCAAGATTTGAATACACAACAGTGTTCGTTGTCACCATACCCTTCCAACCAATGATCGTTGTCAAGCAGACCCATCAAATACAAATGACTTTTTCATTATTTTCCACCTCAGCTAATAGAGTAGCTAGAACACGAAAACAATAAATTCTGGTATGGTTGTTCTATTTGTTTTAATACAACGATGAGGGCACATATGCAGATAAACATAGCCAGCAGGGGTATCTCCCATGAACTCTCAATATATCTGTACATCATAATGGTAACATGACTTCCTCTGATATTTGAAGTTATGAACACACATAATCAATGTATACAGTATACCTATCTACTAATCACTTGAAATATCGTCAGAAACACAATTAAATAATTCATAGTTGTCAAAGACCTGCCTGACCTTGGTGATCATTTGTTTAATACACCAAGTCAAAACTTTCAAATGAAAACTATATCAGCGTCTACGCTTCTGATACCCTTATAATGAAAATAGACATTGCCTATGATTGCCAGCTGAAAATAGTCGCCAAAACAATGCAAACCTGAGGCCTAAAACACAACCTGTTGGTTCAAAAGATGCATGTGCAGAATGAAAATTCGCTAAAGATTTTTTTCAGTTACCCCGGAGGAATTTGTGGTATCAAACGGCCGGAATTGTCAATAACTGTGGCAACCCCAGCAGTCAGATCTACAGGGATGGCGTCCCATGGTGTTACCTTTCCTTCACCAACAGCAACAGAGAACACTCTTACAGCACAACAACACCATTTTTTCATCGGACATAATATACATCATATGCAAAGTCTTCTATTTTAGTGTATTTTAGTATATATATACTAGCCACATAAAGAAACTGTGCACGGAGAAAATATATTCTGGATTGAAATACAACACAGCAAGAACAAAATGATGCAGACGCTGTAGCACCTGAATGATCGGACCATAAGAAAATGTCAACGGGACCTGAACAACATCTGTTACGATGACGTCAGAAGATCAAAATGGAGTAGGGGGTCAAACGACAAAGTCACAAAGTCAATAACGGGTATGACCACCCTGTGCGTGAATCATAGCAGTGCATCGGCGACGCATGGAGTCCACCAAATGGGCATGGAAGGCCTGGGGAATGGCCTGCCATATCCTCCTCAAATCCTGTGCCAAGTCACGGACGTTATCTGGCGGATGTGGAAGACGACGCAGACGGCGCTCCATTTCATCCCACACATGCTCTATTGGGGAGAGACCTGGAGAAATTGCCGTGCTGTTATCCCACCCCAAATCATCACAGAGCAACCTCCAAAACGATTCCTCTCCACAATACAGTTGTGTGCAAAACGTTCTGCCAAACGCCGGTAGACATGTTGGCGCCGGTCACTGTGGGAAATGTTGAACCTCGATTCATCTGTAAAGGTTGGCGAACATGATTTCGGCACCATCTTAGACGGTCGACGGTCGATGTGTAACTCGAATCCATCTGTCCTGTCTTGGCGTCGTTACTCGGGGACGTCCTGAACGTGGGTGGTCGGCAACGTCATTTGTGTTCTGATAACGCCTCACCAATGCTGAAATCGTGTTAAGATGGCATTGGAAATGTGTTGCCACCTGTTGTTGCCTCATTCCCGCTCGGATCATTCCAATGGCTTCATGATGCTGTGCAGCAGTCAATCTTGGCATGATTTGCTTGTGATATGCTTGTGTCTGCGCCTGATAAAGTTTTGAATTTTTGAATGACCACAGATCATGCTTTCCAAAGTGACAGCGAATTTTGAGTTGCGCATGCTGTGTACAGCTGCACAGGATGCACGTGCAGTAACACTTTGCACGTCCATAGGCCCCCATCAATGACGTCATATCGCATGGCACGTGCATGAGCGTTTGAATGTCTCCAATAATTGCTGTGTTCAAACCTATATTTCATATATGGACGGTGTGCCCTTATATCTATATTTTCTCCGTGCACAGTTTTTTTATGTGGCTAGTATATATCAAAGTGGACCTGGCATATTAGGCACTGATCTTATGATCATTAGTATATAACAAATGTTATATTTGGGATTACATTCTCTTTGTACAATACAGATTCTAGTACCTTTGGGGTTATTCGGTTATTAGTCCTATTCGGGACTCGAACTCACACTCTCAGTGTGAGTTAACTAATTGCCAGCACATAAAGTCAGCTATCTAACCAACTTAGCCACCGAGGCTTCCACAAAAATGGTAGTCAAGATCACATTCTTTGTGTACCCCTCTGACAAGTGTAAATTGGCACGGATCACATGGCCAAAAGCTATCAACTAGAATCTGTACTTTACAAAGAGAGTGTAAACCAAAATATAGCATTTGTTACATTTGACCACTTTCTAAATGGTATCATGTATTCATCATTAGTATGGCTTGAGCAATTGATAGTGTAATACTTGGTTTGTTTATTTATACATTTTATATGCAGTATAAATACGGGTCAAAGATACACTTTATAACCTGTCAATGTTACTAATTGCAGCAATTGTAGGAGCATTTGGATATTGATATTTGATATGTCATATTGCTTTGACTAATGCTATCAGTATTGAAACGAGTTTGAAGGAGAAAGTTAAACGAATGGGAGGGGAGAAAGTTTTGGGTATGTTACAATTTTTGTTGGGTTGGTGTTGGATAGGGTTAGGGGTAGTGTTTGGGTTAGGGTTAGGGTAAGAGATAGTATCAGGGTAAGGGTTAGGCCTAGAGATAGGGTTAGGGTTAGGTCTAGAGATAGGGTTAGGGTTAGGGTTAAAAGTAAAGTTATAGTTATGGTTAAAGTTAGGCAGTTCATTGATCTCCATGTCATATAGGTATGACCAATACTGAGTACAGGGGTGAGGGTCAGTTGACAGTCACTCATGTACCAACTCCGTCCTACACAGGGAGTTTTTATGTCAATCCTGACAACTACTACAAGGCCCGTCATTTTACACATCATCTTCGTTGACTGTGGTACATTGTGCATCAACTATGGCTCGCAGATAACCATCATCTTCTTCCTCAACTCTCTGGTAGTCTGGACTCATAGGAGCTGGCTGAAACGTCCCATTATGGTACACAGTACTTCTCTTAAAATTCACAATGCCTGTGTTCTCGTTCATTCTTGGACGTGGTGATACACCAGTGTTGCTGAGGGTAGCTCCATTTGGTTTTGGAAGGTGGTTATCACCAGTATCTCCATTCACAATGTTAAGACTCAACCACAAATTTTCTTCTCTCCTTTCAACTGAAGAAGACAGTATCCTAGGCTCTCCATGCTCCAAACTGTCTTCTTGCCGCAAATGTTCATTTGTACCTGATACACTTTCATCTCCCGTATCATTGAAAGCCAAGTTATCTCTCCCTTCTGGCTCGTTTGGAAATAAACTTTTCACTTGAGTAGATGAGCTGTGTCTTTTCCGCCTCTTTTTGAGTCTTCGCGTTGTGTTTGAGGAAGTAGAAGATGAATCTCGGGGGAATGGAGAATGTATCATCATCCACGCCTGAGTTCGACGTCTTGCTTTGTTCCGACCTCGATGAGACCTAAGCCGTACATCTTTAGTACTCAAGTGATCATTGTGTTCAGATGTGGTAGCTTGTGGTCCCTTTAGTGATTCATAAATATTTCCCTGGCTGTATAAAGCTTGTTCGTAGTCATCATAAGTATTCTCTTCTTCAGGGTTATTGCGAAGTCTTTTAATGATACCTTTTACAGTTCGCCTAAATTTTCCCAACCTTTTCAAAGGTGAGACTCGAGATCTTTGACACACATTAGGTGGATCTCCTGCACGTAGAAATGGGGCCATATCCTGCTTCAATTCCATCCTTCTCTGGTGGCAAGCTATGGCATCACGGAGGCTAAAAGAGAAAAGTGAATTGAATACAAAAGCAGAAAACACAATGACAGTAGAAGTAAATAGGCATTACCTAATTACTCTTCATGTGAAGGGAACAGTCAACTTTACCTGGAGCAGAATGTCCACCTTTGGTGTCTACAGTTATTCAGGTACAATCGAGCATGCTTTTCCCAAGAAGATTTCAAAGAGCGACTCTTGATTAATAGTCGTTTGATCAGGGTTTCAACATTTAATGACTATATAAAACAAAACAACCCAACAAATGACTGTTTCAAGGCTGGATATTTCAAGACTGAGGTTTATATGTTGTATAGATGTCACATTATACCACGCCTCACTGTTTTATAGCCTGTATGCGCTATACGCCCGTCAACTCATAGATCAGGGCTAAAACATTCAAGGTCTTAGAAAAGTCTTTTAAAATGTTTTTGCTAAACATGTTTTTTTCAGGTGGACAATTGACTTGTCTTTGTGACTGATGCCACCGGTGGGGCAGGACACATGCTCAGTTGCTCATCATATAGTTTCATATAATCGGAATCGTACAAATGACTCTTATGGAGATTGTGTTTTGGTTATGGAAATGGTTTTGTTGCTTTTATTTATTTGTGACAGAATATAGTTTCAGACAGAGTTTCAAGATAAACAAGTTTTGTTCACTGTGATATATAACTTTTTCACATCATTGTCAATAGAATCCAACAAAGAAAACTCACTTTTCCCGTAGGACCTGCACCACATCTGCTATGGTTGGCCTCTGAGTTCTGTCTGGACGCCAACACTTCTGCAGGAGGTTGTACAACCACTCTGGACATATGTCTGGCTTGGTAGGATAGTCTCCATTCTGCTTTGCCATGATAAGCTAAAACAGAAATATCATAACATGGATAGTGTTATGGTTGGGATAAACCAGCCGATAAACATGTCCCCTAGCAGGAACTACTTCTGATAAATGTATAGACAGATGTGCTGCTAACTTGCTAAAAGTTTTTGCATGACATTCCATAAACGTTACTTTAGGTTTCCCCGATGTGCGAGTGCTTATATGTAAACCAACATGGCTGCAAGTCATTTGCCACCCATGTATTTTGTTCATTCTCTATTTCTAAAAATACTTCACATTAACGTAAACTTTGATTTGTGCAGATAAAGTTATTATTATCCTTATGTGTTTCCATATTGTAAATTTCATATTTTGTCAGAGAAAGAAGGCATTATGCCCGACATAGACTCCCAGATTACAAGTATTATTCCTAATATAAGATATTTATTGTACGACAACACACGGGAGTATTAACCTCTGTCAAATCTCAAAGAATTATTCTAACAAAGCTTCACCTTCCATATCCCATAGACACACACTAATTCAATAATAACGACAATGTTATTCAGTACACTAGCATTTAATATTTGGTAAGAAAGAGAGGCCAATACTTCCTGTTTTAGAGATGGCATTGGTACAAGATATCAAAACAATACTTGTTCCCCTGAAATCAATGCGAACCTCCTTATCCTTCAACATGCAGTAGGGCACACGGAGAACCTTCGTCCTGGATGGATTGGTGCTGTGCAGGTCATACGACTGAAGCACTTCAAACGTCATCATGGCCCACATGTAGACGTCTCCAGGAGCCGACCAGATGTTGTCTATCAGCGTCTCTGGGGGGAGCCTATTATAGAATGAGGGATTGTTTACTTTATTTAAAAAGAGGCAACCTTGTACTTGCAATTACAATTGTTGCTACTACAACTTAATTCATTCAAATAAGTTTATGTTCAGGTTGACTGCTGAGTATTAATTTGAGGCATTCAACTGTCAACAGTCAAAAGATTGCTATTCAATGTTATAAACTGTGGAGCAAAGGAAACAATACCCATAATTTGAATCTATCATATGTTTCATTTTCAATTGAAAAGATCTTATTGAAGTTATCAAAGTCATATAAAAAACTGAACTGTACTGGTGCTTAGCCAGCACTCAAAGACATTTCATTTCTTACCCAAGTCTTCATAGAACCTTTATATTTTTGCACAAAAGTACTCGGTCTACTTCTGTGTAGGGGTGTGATACCAGATACGCTGGATGCGCTGTCACATTGTCACGTTGTACAGGGGAGACAATTCGTCAGACATACCTGCCTTCGCTTCTTTAGCGTTTTGCTCCACAACAAATTATATTAGGAAGTTCTACTTACCACCTTGTGCTCTCCCTTGAAGGGATGCTGAAGACAATGTCCGATATTTGTGAGAGCTTCTTCATTCTGCAAACACGACTGACGTAAACCTTGAATGAAAACCAATTGGGAATCAAACTCAAATGAGACATAAAACTGACATGACCATGGGACAAAAACAATATTATGAGTTAAACTTGATGTACAAACATAATTGTGGATACCATATTAAACTTCATCGATGAAAAGTCAAACAAGTATTGAAAGTATATATACGATGAAAAGGCATTTATTATCATATGCAGATGCGGTATTATTCACTAATTGCAGAGTGACCATACTTTTACTTGACCATACACTGAACAAGCCACCTAATGATTCAGGGAACCATTATTGATTTCATGTGGAATTGAAACTATGCCAATTGCCAATATAGAGTGAAATGAGAAGTATAAAGAACTTAACAAAATAGATTCTCACTTCACACGTGGACTTGTTGACCAAGAAGTTCTTTGCTCTAAGGTCTCCGTGAAGCCATTTCTTCTCATGGAAGTCCTTAAGTGCCTCTGCTACTTGCAAACATAGGTGAATGTATTTCTCTATGAATCCACTGTACCCTATTAAAAAATTGGTGTCAAGTCCATGGGAACCAGCAACATCGTCAAGGGTGTCACAGTCGGGGTAAAGCCTTTGCTGTTGGTGAGAACAGAAAATAGGAAGTCCTGTAAACACTGCATAACATTCATTTCACATACACGTCGACTGACTCCGTGGTGTAGTGGATTGAGTGCCTGATCAGAGATCGGGAGACCCAGGCCGTGTGATATTCACATTAACAGTTGCTACTTGTTACAGCCTGCCACTTGGCATTAGGGGGATAAATCAAGCACTGGAAAGATCGGAGTTTAATGTGTCTGAGTGGGATATCCACCTTAAACTGTGTCATGGTATCTTAGTGGTTAGCAGTGGTACAAATAATCATACACACACACGAATCTTGAAGTTACGTGAAACCCCATGTCACTTCATCTCAAGTCACCTCACCTCACATAAACGATGGGTATGCTGTGTTTTTGTGACATGCCATGGAATTCCCATGTTGTCAATAACCATCAAATAAAAACAAGGGATAAGACAACTCTTCCCTTACAAGAGATAAAATCTATGCGATTTCATATTCGTGGGTGTTATTGAGTATTTGACGACCGGAAATTCCATTTTGAACTGTTGACGTTAGCAGAAAGTTCAAATGTTATAAAAAAAATTGCAGGGACGTTTTGGTGTCATACTTGTATATAGAATCCAGGCCCATGAGGCTCCGTTTTGGTGTGACAATCGACTCGGATCTGGCGAAAGCCGGCAGCAGTCAGCTCGGGAACTGTATGCTTCACAAAGTCCTCTGTCATGCTCTCTTCTACTGTGATGCCTCCTTCGGGATTCAGTTTCTACAAATGAAGTAAAGACAAAACAAACAATATAATGTTTCCAAAAAGTATATAGAAGTAACAACAAATTATTTCAGGTAGACCTACCAGTCTGATGTCATCCGAAGCCATCAGTTCCGTCTGGGTCACTGCAGGTATCCTTGAAGCTATCCACGCCTCCCTCCTCATGTTCACATATCCCCGTTCCTTCACTGCAATGTATTTCAGTATGTATTTATGTGCTTTCATGCACATCCTTATATAACAGACAATCGTTTTGGAAACAAAATGTAATTGTTCTTTCACACAACTAGCACTAAAACATGATATATTAATTAAGCATTGTTATTGATATGGCATATATGTGTGACCCAATCATGGCATGGCCAAATGGAGCCTAAGTGTGACAATTGCAGGAAGCTAATTTAGCATGACTTGCGTGTACAATCGAACCGACAATAACTTTAAAAAGAACAAAAATCCTGCTTCACGCAAATTGTAAATTTATTTACCTTTTCTAAATTCATGAATGTATCCTGGAACTCCCTGAAACACAAAACAAACATCCCCTATACAATCTCAACGTTCCTTATGAATCAGAGTGACACAATACTCTCCACAAGGCAAGGGATGATTTCAACTTTCCAATCTTCAACTTTCACTTTATGTCAAGCAATATGCCTGCAATTCCAGCCTTTGGTGTTTTCAATTCCACAACTTTTGAGGCACAATCGAGCATGCTCTTTTCATAAAGACGTCAAGAGCGTCATACAACTTTTAATAAAAAGTTGTTGGATCAAGGTTACATCATTCAAGGTCTCAGTAAAGCTTACAAAACGTTTTATGTGAGATGTATGGATGACGCCTCGAGATTTGATGCATCAGTGACCATATTTTCCTATTTACACTTCTACCATTTGTTCCACTGTTTTATTCTATTCGTTCACTTTTTGATAGCGATTCATAAACACTTATGCTGATCATATAGTTGGAATCATCCTTTCAGCGGAGATTTTGTATGATTAAGGAAAGGAATATATGCTCTTATTATAATATACATGAGAGGTATGAAAATTGTGTAAAAGCTGTATTAGAAAACATCAAGTGGACAGTTATCATAAATTATGCCGCCCATGCAAGGTGTTGAAATGTTTGTGTATTACCTTCTCCGGCACATGGTTCCGCATTATTTGTCGTGGACACAGCACGGGATAGAACATGTCTTTCTTCACTATCACATCAAATGACGTGTCAACTGTCTCGCCTGCAAGTATTGGAGAAGATGTCATGCATGGCCCTGTTATTTGCTGTAAGTTGTAAAGATTCCTTTCAAGCTAATTGCAATATATGTTTTGACAAAGGTTAGAGAGCGCGTAGGATTGTTTAACACCCAGTCAGAAATAGTCAATAAAGCAATAACAGAGCAATATCAGGGCAATACCAGGGCAATATCAGGACAGCCTTATGCTGGACACTCTGAACCAGACAAACCTGTGACTTGAGACTGAGCAGCGATCTACATATTCGGACATGACGTCACGCAATCAGCCAATTCTATCTAATTTGCATTTAAGTTCTCAGTAGGTCTACAATTTCAACAGGGTAATATTAACTTCATGTTTATGCGTTCACTAAAACATAATTTCATTTCCACCTTATTGCAAGAAAGCATAATATATTATATATTACTGTATGTCGGATCCGGCTTCAGTTGGTCCATATATGTCTGTAGAGTGTCCCTGAACAGACTGAGCTCAATCCTTTCAGCAGTGACCTTCCTCATGCACCGGGTCAACAAGGTGTACATCTCGTCTGGGATGCATGGCCATTGAAAGGGGAGGATGTTTTCAAACATCACCTTGAGAACAAGTGAATCATAAACAGTGAGACCAAAGACCCAGCAATACCAAGGGTGATGTGGGTCCAGAGGAAATGACAAATTATTAAGTTAATGAAACCTGTCATGAGTGTCACTGGACATGTCCATGCGAATTACTTTTATTCTGTTATGGATTAATTGCATGATGAAGTAGAGAAGAAAGGCTAAAATGAGTGGGAAAAAACAATATTCTGAATTTCAAAACAAAATCTAACTGTAAGCAAGTCCTTGACCCGAGATTATATTTTACCATATATTTATACTGTCTGCACCTATACCTATATTACAGTTACAGTCCAAAATATGTTGAACTGTTGAACTGTCCATGGTAATATTATCATTCATATGAACACATATGATGACAGGGCGGTGGGGTAGCCTAGTGGGTAAAGTTTTCGCTCGACTTTCACTTTCAGTTATGCCTAATACCATTCTCATGATTTCTTCCGTGCTGTCTTTGTAGTATTCTGTGAAAGGGTCACAGCCATGGGTCCACAGAGTGTAGATGACGAGCCCCAGGGCCCATATGTCTGACTGGGGAGTGAAGGATCCAGTCAGCCACGCCTCATGGCATGTCCACCGGGTTGGGATGGCTCCAGGGTAGAAATCTAGACCATGGAAATAATGTTGGTAGCTAAACTAGTATTAGTATATGAAGGTTGCCAAGGGTTGGCACCATTCAAGAATATATGTATTTGATATCTCAATTAATATTCAATTATGAACAAAGATTAAATATATTGACTCTTTGGAGTCTAAACGAGAATATAATTTGAAAGAAACAAAATCCACACACCTCTTACTTCAGGACACTGGTCTGACTGGAAACTACAAGCCACACTAAGATCTCCTATTTTCACTCTATTCCTTACAAGGAACATGTTATTCAGCGTCAGATCACGTAACAGAACCTTCTGCCTGTGGAGTGCCATCAGTCCACTTGTGATTTCCATGAGAAAGTCACACAGTTCAAGATCTGTCAGCCAGTCAATGCTCGTCCTCCGTTGTAGAACATGATGCTGAAGCGTCATCTCCAGACAGTCCTCCACGATGTAGTAGATTGGGACTGACGTCACATTGTAGGCATACAGTTCAACCAAGTTATCATGGCTCATCAGTTTGCGCAACATGTCAAAATTGTGCATAGTATCTCTCATGTCTTGATTGATGTGTTCATAAAACGTTGAACAATAAAAGTGGTCAAAATCAGGTTTATGTGCATGAATAAGGACTTTCTGTGTCCCCATCCGTCCGTTATATGTTCGGAATTGAGATCTGTTTTCACTGACTTCGTAATCAATATGCAGTCCAGCATAAGCCTGGCCTCTCTCAATCTCCTGCTGAACTACCTTCTGCAGCAGGAGCTCGTCAAAATGTTCCTGGAGGTCATGTATTTGCTCTCTGACTGACAGTCCTGGATGCCACAACAGAGGTAGTGTCTCCTGAAGGAGACACTGAAGTCGATTCTCTCGACACACTCTGTTGTTGGAGACACGGAAACAGGACAGCAGCAAGGGCAGAGATGATGTTCTCAGCTCCTCAACTGTTCTTGTGATGAACTCAGTCAGGTCGGTCTTACAGGTTTCTTTCACATCGCCTATTTGAACGTCACCTACAACAATATTCGGGAGGTGATTATTTTTTTTCAACAAGATGAAGCATAGGGTTTTTTTTCAAGAGGACAATATATTTTTTTCTGCACTTGTGTGCTTGGAGTCATCTACATATCTATAAAATCGTTTCGAGATACTTAATGTTAAATTAAAATTAGTTACAAAACAAACAAAAGTATTGATCAAATTCCGATACTTACTTTCTGTTGCTAGTCATTTTACTATCACACGGATAGTGCACACAGAGCAATGAAACACATTATGTCTGTGGCTTAGTTACCGTGAAGATCTGGGTAAGAAATAGTAATCAGCCACCCATGCTTGTGGTAAAAGGCGACTAACGGTTGATGCATGTCATCGTATCCTAATTGGGTAGATGTCAATCACTGGATTGTCTGGTTCAGACTCGATTATTTACAGACCGCCATCAAATAGCTGGTATACTGCTGAGTGCGACGTTCAACAACAAACAAGCTTTACCTGTATTGAAAGCACTCGTCAAGGAATGGATACATCCCGTCACCAGCAACATCCTCATGGCTTGTTTCCCACGTGGACATTGTCCTCCAAGCAGGGCAGAATATATGAACTTCATATATGCCAGAGTCTTTTCGCAGCCAGGTACCATAGTCTTGAAAAAGAAATTTAATATATTTCTGATATACAATTATATAATATTTTTGAATAATATTTACATTTAAATATGTAACAAAAGGTATGTTTGGGATGACACTTTCATTGTTAAGCACAGATACTAGTACATTTTTGGGTGGAGCCCAAACCGGTATTAGAAACCCATACTCAATGTTCATGCATGGAAGTCTCGGTGGCTGAATGGGTTAGATCGCTGACTTTGTGTGTTGGCGATTAGGTGCCTCATTCTGGGAGTGTTGGTTCGAATCCCGGATGGGACTCAAATCAAAATGTACTTATATCTGTACATTTGTTACAGACCCGTGAAGATCCAGGGTATAATAGGTCTTCAGCAACCTATACTTGCCGTGAAAGGCGACTATGCTAGTCGTAAGAGGCGACTAACGGGAGCGGGTGGTCAGGTTCGCCAACTTGGTTGATGCATGTCATCGATCCCAATTGCGTGGATCGATGCTCATGATGTCAGCCACTGGATTATTGACAGACCGCCGTCACATAGCTGTGAATATTGCCGAGTGCGGCATTAAACAAACAAGCAAACAAACAAACACACATTTGTTATATTTGACCACTTTGGCCTTGTGTGTTCATTTAAATATCATTTGAACTTCAATCATTCTTTATGTCATATTTCTTACATTTCAAACAGAAAACTATTCAAATACCTGTTTCAATAACGAGAAGAGATGTGTGAATGTGTCACAGAAGTGTGCTTTTTTCACCAGGGTCAATGATTCCTGTTTATTTATATCAGAGGCATTCTTGACTTCACTGCCGAAGACCAAGCCACTCTTCCGAACTAAACGCTTAGGAAACACTTGATGGTAATGTAGCATTGCTTTTAGAAGATCATGGGCTGCTGTGCACCTCTTTTCCTTGATTAAGTCTTCAATGCTCTCCTTTCTGGTCGCTGATATCTCAGTCAGTTTCTCCACTGTTTCCTCTGATCTGTCAGGGTTACACAGCAGGCAACTGAACAGCATGAGGTTGAGGATTCCAAGGTCAAACACATGATCCTGGTACTGACTCAGACTCTTCCAGATGTTCTCTTCGACTGCAGTTATTTCTTCAACGTTGACATTGTCCTCACTGGCATACACAAACTGTCGAAGACATGTCAAGACAACTTTCCTGATATGTTCGTCATCCAGTAAAAGAAACTTAGACATTTCAGCCATTTTAGATTGTGTTTTGAGTTTGTGGATTTTCTGTGACAGAATGCATTTTTTAATTTCATCTTGCAAATTAGGAGTTTGCCATTGAGAGATAAGTTTCTGTGTACTCCAGTCGCCCATGGCAGGATCTGAAAGGATTGGACAATACATCTTAATAGCAGGGGGTATGAGGAGGAAGGGTGGAGGGGTACTTGTAAATTGTTTTAGGTCACTCACGATTAATAACACTAAATATGTTTTCAATATTTGAAAGTTAACATTAAGTTAAACGTTAACTCCATTATGTATTCTATGTATTAAGCTGACAATATCAACTTTAATGTGTTATATCAGATACCTACATTAGGTATTAATCATTAATCAGACAAACCAAATCAATAATATTCAAATGCCTAAACGAATCTTTTCCTGTTTGTCCCAATGGAATATTTAATACGTAAAATTTGAACGGATTTCCTGAGTATGAGTCTTGAGAATCTGTCGAAATCGATTACGTGCCCCCTAGCATTACCAAACATACATTTTCTGCTGCAGTTTGTTGTTTGAAGAGAAGAGTATGTACTTACTGGTCGAGTGTATGTGTCGTGCCCTTACTTGGTGTCCTCTAAAATCTTTGTGCTTCATTGTTTTTGCATTTACAAAATGTCCCCCGGGTTGTGAGACCAGGGCAGGCTCCTCCTCGATGACAGAGATTATGTCCGTCTCTGTTTTCAAGCTGTATGTACTTAGCGGGTTCGGTGATCCTGGAAATATTTAAGATGCCTTTTCTAGACCCCTGAGCAAGATAAGGATTTGCACTGGACTTGCACTGAGGTCAAAACCTATGACCAGGATGAAGTGAACGAAACTGATTATCTGTTACTCGCTCTTTAACCGAGGGTTTAGCATCACACATACATTGGAAATAATGGCTTGTTATAACAAAAAATTGTCTATTAAAAGTGAATGTGATGTTTTACAGTTGTTCATGTGATTAGAGAGAAAACTGCGAATGTTTCTTAAGCATCCAAAAACCCATAATACGGGGATAAATACCTTCGTCTTCTTCTCCATCCTGTCCAACACATTTCCTTAATGTTTGTTCTGATCGGCCAGTTACATCAGCAATGGTTTGTTCACTCCAAGTATCATTTGCCTGTGAGACAAGTGGTGTGTAGTTATGACTGCGGACAGTGTTGTGTGACTCTGGAAGGAATCTGACCCTGCTTGATTTTGACTGCTTGCTGAAAATTCACAAGTGAATATTGTTCAAACTATCTTTTATATCTTGCGTCCTTGGTATGGTGAAGATAAACACATCCACGTACACATCCACATCCACGTCCACATCTACGTCTGCGTCCACATCCACACTCATATCCACATCTATACCCACGTCCACGTCCATATCAACATCAATACCCACATCCACATCCATGTCCACATCCACATCCGCATTCTCATCCACATTCACGTCCACATGCACGTCTACATCCGCGTCAACATCAACGTCCACGTCCACATCCACATCCACATCCATGTCCATGTCCATGTCCATATCCATATCCATATTCATATCCACATACACGTCCACATCCACGACTACACTCACGTTCACGTCCACATCCACATTTACATCTACGTACACATCCACGTCAACATCCGCGTCCACATCCACGTCTAGGTCCACGTCAAAATCTATATCCACATCTACATCCTGGTCCACGTCCACGTCTATATCAACATCCACGTCCACATCAATGTCCAAATCCACACCAACATCCACATCCTCATCCACATCCAGATCAACGTCTATATCAACGTCCACACTGACGTCCACTTCCACATCCACTACCACGTCTACATCCACGTCTACATCCACGTCTACGTTCATGTTCACGTCCGCACCCACATTAAAATCCACATCTACACCCATGTCCACGTCCATGTCAATATCCACGTCCACATCCATAGCCACGTACACGTCCACAATCACATCTATATTCTTGTCCACATGTATTTCCAAACGTACGCTAACGATCATGCACACTATCGCCTTAACACCACGCTACACCATGCGTACATCCAGTTCCAGATTTACATCCACAACAACATACTGATTTTGGTGCTACAATAGTAGATATTTTATATTTCGCGAATGTTTTTGCATCGTTTAATATGATCTTCATATTTTTCCTGTAGATGAGGAGATATCTACTCTGACATACTCTGATTTCATATTCTGTTCCCGTTAAGGTTTCCAGAAGAGTCATTTAAAAAAATGCGCACGTCATGAACAGATTTAGTGAATCATAAGTCAGATTAAACGTGCATAAAGACGAAATGCATGCCCAAAACGATAAAAAAAAGGATGGCAAAATACCTTATTTTGATAAATAAGAGTAGAAACATTGTTCAATATGCTGATTATTAAAGTTTGCCCTAGCCCCTGTATATCGAGCTGTAAAATTATGAAAAAAGGCTGCATGTTTATATACTAAACAAAACCCTAATCATTGTCCCTAAATGTTTTGTGCAGTAAATTCTTTTTCGCTTTTACATATACATATGCATATACATAATCATTCAAAATGTAATATCCTGAAGTGAAATACATACGCTCCCATCTTTGACAGTGCGACAAGTCTTGACACCCAGGTCCTCGGCCTGCAAGGAATTTACAAATGAATAATTATATCTTTGTTATAGAGAAGCAGTGATCAATGATAGAGACTAAGTTTGCATTTATCGTTCATCTGAGGGCGTCCTCTGTAAACTGAAGCCCAGGACAGGAGTTTCACTGTAATGCTGACAGACAGGACTTCACATTGTGGACATCCCTTTGGGACGGAGATCATAGTACAAATAGAGAATCTCACCCGAGTGTCTTCAAAAGACGCGAGGGTGAGATTTTATTTATCATCCAACACCATTCTTCAAACTACTTCGGTTTGTAGACAGTAATAAGTCTTACGGGTAAGTGTAAAAAGTACTGCCAACAGCTTCAGTAGCAGGGCTATTATTGATGTCATTTGATTGTTACGTCATGGTAACCAATGGTCACAATGGTCTGCAAAGCAATTTCATGGCAGCGATATCTACAATGTAGATATTGTTTGATGTCACCCAAGCCAAATCTCCTGTGGGAGCCAGTTTTAGATGATAAAGTGTAGATGCAGGTTGATGTGAAAAATCGTAAAAGAACAAGAAAAATAAACTAGTAGGCTGATATTGAAAGTGCCACGTTCACTCCAATGTTTTACTTCATCCGAGATCAGCTGTTGCTGTTTTAAGTTTTAAAGATGTATGCTGAGTCAAATTAAAAACTTCACATTTCTAAAAGTAATCCCACACATGATATACAACGGACAAATGAATCAGAGAAGGTAATTTTTAATCATTAATGTCCAAAGAAGGATTTTAATTAACGGTGGTAACCATAATTTGTTCCAAGCACCTGCGGTATTCGGTAATAACATCAACAGTTTAAATCATAAGTCCCAAGCACGAGAATCTGATGGCACACAAGTTCAGTAGCGTGTATGGCCACCATGTGCGCTGACAACTGCCACACAACGCCTCCGCATGGACCTTGTGATGCTTGTGAACACATGATTGGGAAGACGACGCCATTGTTGCTGTAAAATGGTGCCAAGATCTTGCAAATTCTGTGGTTGGTTCTGGAGAGTGCGCAGACCTCTGCCAAGAGCATCTCAGACGTGTTCGATGGGAATGAGGTCGGGAGACCTTGACGGCCAGTCCATGATGTTGACTCCCGCATTCTGAAGGAAATGTCAGAATTGCTGTGTGGGGTCTGGCATTTTCGTGTTGGAAGATCAAACCGGGTCCATGTACTGCCATAAAAGGCAGAAGTTCTGATGCCAGTGCCTGGTCGCGGTAAGCAGCAGCGTTGAGGTTGCCACGGATGACAAGAAGCCTGGAACGTGCATTGCCACAGAAAGCACCCCACACCACGACACTTCCGCCTCGAAACACTGGGCGTAACGTTCATGACGGCGCCTCCACACCCTCGCCGTACCATCAGCAAATCGAAGATTAAATCGGGATTCATCACTGAAGACGACTTGATTCCAATTCCTCTGAGTCCATCGTAAGTGTCGCTGTGCCCACAATTGACGTTGACGTCTGTGTAATTGAGTCAGAATCGGCCCGCAGTATGGCCGTCGTGCTTGAAGGTGAGCAGTTCTCAGACGGTTTCGAACAGTTTGCGCACTCAGTCTACCCCTAAACAGTTCATTTCTGGTTGATGTAGGTGTCAAAAATCGTTTACGGAGGTGACGTAAGACAATCTGACGATCCTCTGCATGTGACGTCACACGTGGTCGACCTGGCCGAGGGCGATCAGAGGTGGTACCCGTTTGTTGTAGACGCGTCTGTAAATCATAAACAGTCCGTCGACTACAACCGCCAACCTTGCGACTTCAGCTTCGGACGTTCCCGTCTGCAACATGCCGATGGCAGGTTCACGTTTCACATTTGAAAGGCGTGGCCTGACAAATGGCCGTAAAGACTTTTGTTTTCTTGTGTTTTTCTTTTTTTTGTTAATTACTGCTAACAAATGCGGTATTAGGGCCACGTGACCAGTTGCACGTGAAAAACCACTTTTGCCACTATAGTGCTGTGCACATGATTTTGATCGATTCACCTGCACAAAAACGGGTGTTATCTGAAGACAATTCATGGCCATTACTGTTTATTAGTTCGTTATATCCGTTAGTTCGTTATAAGCGTGTTCGTTATAACCGTAGATTACTGTATATACACTTAGGTTCCACTGGTCAAACGGGTTGTTTTTTCACGACGATTGGTCATAAACAGAAGAAACGGTGTTTTAAACTATCACAGTGTTATCCAGGATGATAAGAGAAACACATATTGATCCAACATGGCGATAAACGAAGTACGTATCATGGCTATATACTCACAGTACCTCCAAAGAACTGGAACGATCACCCTCCACTACAAACAATCCCTGTGTTCAAAGATATTTTACGTGAAGAAATTACACAGTGACGTTGACAATTTCCAAACAAGTTATAAATAGCATAGAACCACCACACACACACAAAACACCCCCCAAAGGTTCAGCTGTGTGGCCTTAAGGTTAACTCTTACATGGTGTAGTGGACTTTGGAATCAACGAAGTCATTCTGTTTTAATTTTAATAAGTTTGTCCCTTAATTTCTTAATATGCCATTTAACATTTTCTCAGTCCCAAGAAAATACACACTGTGTTTTAATTCTTTTACATACTAGTAAACTCTCTCAGCAGTTAACGGGTGTATAGCGTATTCAGGCTATGAAACAGAGCGAGACGTGGCATAAGATGACATGTATACAGTGCGTGCACCTCAGCCTTCAGAAAGTCATCTGTTGTGTTGGGTGACACAACAATAACCTCATGGGACAACTAAAAACAATGCTAGTCTACCTGCAGTGTTGGATGACAGTATGTTTCTCTGACATGCATTTAGAAATTGGTAGTTCATAAACATTCAGGTCCAAATGGAACCTGCTGTACAGACAGATAGGTAAGTGAAATCGGTTTTCTTGATACGGTAGGAAAGTCGAAGTGATAGAGGTCTACGACATTTAACACGTTGGTGAAACCCACAGCACGTGAACGGTGCTGACAAACCTGGAAACATAATCAGGGAGAACCGGGATTCGAAGCCCGGATTCGAACTCATTAAGATAGGTTTATGGCACAGCGAAGTGCGGCGCCTTAGGGGACTTTGTCTCTGGTGCGCCCGGTATTTAGTTGAAACCAGATAAGGTGGTTCAGCATGGACTGACAACAATCGAGACTGACTGGTTTTTTAAGAACTGACGTATGCTGTTGGTTACAAGAGGGGTAGACGACACGCTCTAACAGGTGTGACGATGTAATGGTATTTCCACGATGATACTCTGTATGATGATGATGTAATGGTATTTCCACGATGATACTATGTATGATGATGATGTTATGGTATTTCCACGATGATACTCTGTATGATGATGATGTAATGGTATTTCCACGATGATACTCTGTATGATGATGATGTAATGGTATTTCCACGATGATACTATGTATGATGATGATGTTATGGTATTTCCACGATGATACTCTGTATGATGATGATGTAATGGTATTTCCACGATGATACTCTGTATGATGATGATGTAATGGTATTTCCACGATGATACTTAAATAACTACACGTGGAAGGACTACCCGCCCACATATCCAGCCGCCTTTCTATTTTTAAGTGCACTCTTAGGGTCTTACAAAGTGTCAAACGTTCTTTCACATAAATAAGGGACGTTGGTAGAACGAATATATACTTAGTGGTATATCGGCATTATGTTAAATTATGACTTGTCGGTTGCCATAAATGGTCGTGGTTAATTGGTTACGTCCTCACATATTCTGATCTCCGGGGGTCTTTGGGATAAATGTATACATTGTACACATACGATTTGTTTGTTTGTTGGTTACCCCTCACTCAGCAATGTTGTAGCTATTGTGAATCGGGAACACTTTGAGCCAAAATGCTAGTCTAGTACTAGTACTAGTACTTACTTTCATATTTAAATAATTTTCGAAATTCAGGGATTCATTTTTAACTATAGATTACGTGGCTCCTTTGGAATATTTATCTCGTGTGGCTTTCCAGCATTTGATCTCATTTAATGTTATCTTAACCATAGTTTTAAAATGATTTGGACTTTGAAAACTTTGTGATTGCCAAATGAAACTTAAGACAAGATCGTCGAGGATTTGTTTTACAAAGGTTATCCATTTATGTTTGCGCCTTTCAAATAGGTTATCATTATATAATAAAGTAAAAATGAGTAAAGATAGTTTTTGATGATAATCCGAATAAGAGTTTCGTCCCAAAAGAAACCATTCTGATCGTAACTTCTTTTATTTCAGAAAATCTACCAAGTTCGCCATAAACCATGTAATTTTAAAATTTGGTGCAATAGGCCCAAGTGAATTAAACAGTTTAAGAACATCAGAGCAACGTGAGCGAGCAATTGGGATGGTCAAGAGGGGGACCATGCACGCCCACGTTGCAAGAACCTTTGTCTGTTCCCGTGTTGCCGTTGGAAACTTGTTTCAGGGTTTCAGACAGACTGGAAGGACATCGGACATGGTCAGCAAAGGGAGACCACGGGTCACTACGCCAAAGGAAGACCGGTATCTGCGAACGTTGCACCTCCGCAACCGCTTCCTCACAGTGACGCCATGGGCAGTGAATGCTTTGGATCGGTGGGTGAGCACACACACAGTGACAAAAAGATTTCGGGCAGCAGGTATGGGACCTATCGACCGTTCAGAGGACAGATGTTGACGAATTCGATTGGCTAATACAGTGCGACGGTGGCAGCGTCGGGATTTACACCGCGTGGTCTTTACGGACGTAAGCAGGTTCTTTTTGTTTAGAGTTCATGGCAGACATCGTTGTTACCTACGCAGAGGTGAACGGACAGCTGCTTGCTGCGTTCAAGAAGTCGTTCCTTACGGTGGAGATGGCATTATGGTGTGGGGAGAATATTTTTAGACCGATCAACGCCACTCGTTATCAATGGAAACCTCAATGCGCAACGCAAAATAAATAACATGCTCCGTCCAGTAGTGCTGCCCTACCTCCAGCAACAGCCCCGAAGTGTTCTGTACCATCCCGACAACGCCAGGTCCCACACTTCTCGTTTCGTAGTGGACTTACTTGCTAACAACAACGTCAACGTCTTACCGTGGCCGGCATGCTCTCCTGACTTATCACTAATACAACACATCTATGACGTCTTGGACAGTCGAGTTACACCCTCCACGTACAGACAAGAGTTGATACAAGCTCTACAAGGTGGACCCGCTTGCCACGTCACCTCAGACACAGAATCTTTGCATGTATGGAGCCACGGGGTGGCCAGTCTTTGCATGTATGGAGGCACGGGGTGGCCAGTCTTTGCATGTATGGAGGCACGGGGTGGCCAGTCTTTGCATGTATGGAGGCACGGGGTGGCCAGTCTTTGCATGTATGGAGGCGCGGGGTGGCCAGTCTTTGCATGTATGGAGGCACGGGGTGGCCAGTCTTTGCATGTATGGAGGCACGGGGTGGCCAGTCTTTGCATGTATGGAGGCACGGGGCGGCCAGTCTTTGCATGTATGGAGGCACGGAGTGGCCAGTCTTTGCATGTATGGAGGCACAGGGTGGCCAGTCTTTGCATGTATGGAGGCACGGGGTGGCCAGTCTTTGCATGTATGGAGGCACGGGGGGGCCAGTCTTTGCATGTATGGAGGCACGGGGTGGCCAGTCTTTGCATGTATGGAGGCACGGGGTGGCCAGTCTTTGCATGTATGGAGGCACGGGGTGGCCAGTCTTTGCATGTATTGAGGCACGGGGTGGCCAGTCTTTGCATGTATGGAGGCACGGGCCGGGGTGGCCAGTCTTTGCATGTATGGAGGCACGGGGTGGCCAGTCTTTGCATGTATGGAGGCACGGGGTGGCCAGTCTTTGCATGTATGGAGGCACGGGGTGGCCAGTCTTTGCATGTATGGAGGCACGGGGGGGCAAGTCTTTGCATGTATGGAGGCACGGGGTGGCCAGTCTTTGCATGTATGGAGGCACGGGGTGGCCAGTCTTTGCATGTATTGAGGCACGGGGTGGCCAGTCTTTGCATGTATGGAGGCACGGGCCGGGGTGGCCAGTCTTTGCATGTATGGAGGCACGGGGTGGCCAGTCTTTGCATGTATGGAGGCACGGGGTGGCCAGTCTTTGCATGTATGGAGGCACGGGGTGGCCAGTCTTTGCATGTATGGAGGCACGGGGGGGCAAGTCTTTGCATGTATGGAGGCACGGAGTGGCCAGTCTTTGCATGTATGGAGGCGCGGAGTGACCAGTCTTTGCATGTATGGAGGCACGGGGTGGCCAGTCTTTGCATGTATGGAGGCGCGGAGTGGCCAGTCTTTGCATGTATGGAGGCACGGGAGTGGCCAGTCTTTGCATGTATGGAGGCGCGGGGTGGCCAGTCTTTGCATGTATGGAGGCACGGGGTGGCCAGTCTTTGCGTGTATGGAGGCACGGAGTGGCCAGTCTTTGCATGTATGGAGGCACGGGGTGGCCAGTCTTTGCATGTATTGAGGCACGGGGTGGCCAGTCTTTGCATGTATGGAGGCACGGGGCGGCCAGTCTTTGCATGTATGGAGGCACGGGGTGGCCAGTCTTTGCATGTATGGAGGCACGGGGTGGCCAGTCTTTGCATGTATGGAGGCGCGGAGTGGCCAGTCTGTGCATGTATGGAGGCACGGGGTGGCCAGTCTTTGCATGTATGGAGGCACGGGGTGGCCAGTCTTTGCATGTATGGAGGCACGGGGTGGCCAGTCTTTGCATGTATGGAGGCACGGGCCGGGGTGGCCAGTCTTTGCATGTATGGAGGCGCGGAGTGGCCAGTCTTTGCATGTATGGAGGCACGGGGTGGCCAGTCTTTACATGTATGGAGGCACGGGGTGGCCAGTCTTTACATGTATGGAGGCACGGGGTGGCCAGTCTTTGCATGTATGGAGGCGCGGGGTGGCCAGTCTTTGCATGTATGGAGGCACGGGCCGGGGTGGCCAGTCTTTGCATGTATGGAGGCACGGGGTGGCCAGTCTTTGCATGTATGGAGGCACGGGGTGGCCAGTCTTTGCATGTATGGAGACGCGGAGTGGCCAGTCTTTGCATGTATGGAGGCACGGGGTGGCCAGTCTTTGCATGTATGGAGGCACGGAGTGACCAGTCTTTGCATGTATGGAGACGCGGAGTGGCCAGTCTTTGCATGTATGGAGGCACGGGGTGGCCAGTCTTTGCATGTATGGAGGCACGGGGTGGCCAGTCTTTGCATGTATGGAGGCACGGGGTGGCCAGTCTTTGCATGTATGGAGGCGCGGAGTGGCCAGTCTTTGCATGTATGGAGGCACGGGAGTGGCCAGTCTTTGCATGTATGGAGGCGCGGGGTGGCCAGTCTTTGCATGTATGGAGGCACGGGGTGGCCAGTCTTTGCGTGTATGGAGGCACGGAGTGGCCAGTCTTTGCATGTATGGAGGCACGGGGTGGCCAGTCTTTGCATGTATTGAGGCACGGGGTGGCCAGTCTTTGCATGTATGGAGGCACGGGGCGGCCAGTCTTTGCATGTATGGAGGCACGGGGTGGCCAGTCTTTGCATGTATGGAGGCACGGGGTGGCCAGTCTTTGCATGTATGGAGGCGCGGAGTGGCCAGTCTGTGCATGTATGGAGGCACGGGGTGGCCAGTCTTTGCATGTATGGAGGCACGGGGTGGCCAGTCTTTGCATGTATGGAGGCACGGGGTGGCCAGTCTTTGCATGTATGGAGGCACGGGGTGGCCAGTCTTTGCATGTATGGAGGCGCGGAGTGGCCAGTCTTTGCATGTATGGAGGCACGGGCCGGGGTGGCCAGTCTTTGCATGTATGGAGGCACGGGGTGGCCAGTCTTTGCATGTATGGAGGCACGGGATGGCCAGTCTTTGCATGTATGGAGGCGCGGAGTGGCCAGTCTTTGCATGTATGGAGGCACGGGGCGGCCAGTCTTTGCATGTATGGAGGCACGGAGTGGCCAGTCTTTGCATGTATGGAGGCACGGGGTGGCCAAATTCGGTATTAAAATGACAGGTTTTGTGTCTTTGACCACTTTCCCTGTTTGAATGAATTGCAGTTAAAATCTGAACAACTGAATTTTCAACTTCCACTGATTTTGTTTGCCTGGTGTACAATATGTAAACACAAATTGTCAAGTTTGAGTTATTCAATACTTTGTGGAATTGTTGGTTTATTAAATATACTTTACCTCAAACTATTGTTATTTTCAGTTTATTAATTACAGTCTCTTCAATCTGGTGCAAAGTTTCTTTTGCCGTTCAGTTAACAATGATTTGGTTGTTTGCTCTATCAGATTTTATTTTGTAAAAGTGAATTTAGAATTCTTCTAATTTTCCTAAATATCTTGACCAATATTAAATGTTTTCGAAAAATTAACCTTAAGACTCCGTTTATCATAATTCTTATTAATAGAATCTAACAATTGTTTGCAAGTGTATATTTGTAGTCGTAAGAACTGCATCAAGGGAGTTATTTATGTGTAGCTGGCGTCTATCTGGGCTACTCTGTGTCATGTGAACAACTTGACGATGTGGCAGATTAGTGACTTTTCCTGACTCCTGAGGACACTGAGTGACAATGTGCAATCAAGGAAACAGAATGTTACGGATTATTCATTTAATCAGGTGGAGGTGAATAAAAGAAATATGCCTCCTTACATTTTGTGTTTGTTGTGGTTTACCCGAATAACTGCGTCATAAAACTATAGTGAGTGTTGTGGTTTACCCGAGTAACTGCGTCATAAAACTATAGTGAGTGTTGAGGTTTACCCGAGTAACTGCGTCATAAAACTATAGTGAGTGTTGTGGTTTACCCGAGTAACTGCGTCCTAAAACTATAGTGAGTGTTGAGGTTTACCCGAGTAACTGCGTCATAAAACTATAGTGAGTGTTGTGGTTTACCCGAGTAACTGCGTCCTAAAACTATAGTGAGTGTTGAGGTTTACCCGAGTAACTGCGTCATAAAACTATAGTGAGTGTTGTGGTTTACCCGAGTAACTGCGTCCTAAAACTATAGTGAGTGTTGAGGTTTACCCGAGTAACTGCGTCCTAAAACTATAGTGAGTGTTGTGGTTTACCCGAGTAACTGAGTCCTAAAACTATAGTGAGTGTTGTGGTTTACACTAGTAACTGCGTCATAAAACTATAGTGAGGTTTGTGGTTTACCCGAGTAACTGCGTCATAAAACTATAGTGAGTGTTGAGGTTTACCCGAGTAACTGCGTCCTAAAACTATAGTGAGTGTTGTGGTTTACCCTAGTAACTGCGTCCTAAAACTATAGTGAGTGTTGTGGTTTACCCTAGTAACTGCGTCATAAAACTATAGTGAGTGTTGAGGTTTACCCTAGTAACTGCGTCATAAAACTATAGTGAGTGTTGAGGTTTACCCGAGTAACTGCGTCATCAAACTAAAGTGAGTGTTGTGGTTTACCCTAGTAACTGCGTCATAAAACTATAGTGAGTGTTGAGGTTTACCCCAGTAACTGCGTCATAAAACTATAGTGAGTGTTGAGGTTTACCCCAGTAACTGCGTCATAAAACTATAGTGAGTGTTGTGGTTTACCCGAGTAACTGCGTCCTAAAACTATAGTGAGTGTTGAGGTTTACCCGAGTAACTGCGTCATAAAACTATAGTGAGTGTTGTGGTTTACCCGAGTAACTGCGTCATAAAACTATAGTGAGTGTTGAGGTTTACCCCAGTAACTGCGTCATAAAACTATAGTGAGTGTTGAGGTTTACCCGAGTAACTGCGTCATCAAACTAAAGTGAGTGTTGTGGTTTACCCTAGTAACTGCGTCATAAAACTATAGTGAGTGTTGAGGTTTACCCCAGAAACTGCGTCATAAAACTATAGTGAGTGTTGAGGTTTACCCCAGTAACTGCGTCATAAAACTATAGTGAGTGTTGTGGTTTACCCGAGTAACTGCGTCCTAAAACTATAGTGAGTGTTGTGGTTTACACTAGTAACTGCGTCATAAAACTATAGTGAGTGTTGTGGTTTACCCTAGTAACTGCGTCCTAAAACTATAGTGAGTGTTGAGGTTTACCCTAGTAACTGCGTCCTAAAACTATAGTGAGTGTTGTGGTTTACCCGAGTAACTGCGTCATAAAACTATAGTGAGTGTTGAGGTTTACCCCAGTAACTGCGTCATAAAACTATAGTGAGTGTTGAGGTTTACCCGAGTAACTGCGTCATCAAACTAAAGTGAGTGTTGTGGTTTACCCTAGTAACTGCGTCATAAAACTATAGTGAGTGTTGAGGTTTACCCCAGAAACTGCGTCATAAAACTATAGTGAGTGTTGAGGTTTACCCCAGAAACTGCGTCATAAAACTATAGTGAGTGTTGAGGTTTACCCCAGTAACTGCGTCATAAAACTATAGTGAGTGTTGAGGTTTACCCGAGTAACTGCGTCATCAAACTAAAGTGAGTGTTGTGGTTTACCCTAGTAACTGCGTCATAAAACTATAGTGAGTGTTGAGGTTTACCCCAGAAACTGCGTCATAAAACTATAGTGAGTGTTGAGGTTTACCCCAGTAACTGCGTCATAAAACTATAGTGAGTGTTGTGGTTTACCCGAGTAACTGCGTCCTAAAACTATAGTGAGTGTTGTGGTTTACACTAGTAACTGCGTCATAAAACTATAGTGAGTGTTGTGGTTTACCCTAGTAACTGCGTCCTAAAACTATAGTGAGTGTTGAGGTTTACCCTAGTAACTGCGTCCTAAAACTATAGTGAGTGTTGTGGTTTACCCTAGTAACTGCGTCATAAAACTATAGTGAGTGTTGTGGTTTACCCGAGTAACTGCGTCATAAAACTATAGTGAGTGTTGAGGTTTACCCTAGTAACTGCGTCCTAAAACTATAGTGAGTGTTGAGGTTTACCCTAGTAACTGCGTCCTAAAACTATAGTGAGTGTTGTGGTTTACCCGAGTAACTGCGTCATAAAACTATAGTGAGTGTTGTGGTTTACCCGAGTAACTGCGTCATAAAACTATAGTGAGTGTTGAGGTTTACCCCAGTAACTGCGTCATAAAACTATAGTGAGTGTTGAGGTTTACCCGAGTAACTGCGTCATCAAACTAAAGTGAGTGTTGTGGTTTACCCTAGTAACTGCGTCATAAAACTATAGTGAGTGTTGAGGTTTACCCCAGAAACTGCGTCATAAAACTATAGTGAGTGTTGAGGTTTACCCCAGTAACTGCGTCATAAAACTATAGTGAGTGTTGTGGTTTACCCGAGTAACTGCGTCCTAAAACTATAGTGAGTGTTGTGGTTTACACTAGTAACTGCGTCATAAAACTATAGTGAGTGTTGTGGTTTACCCTAGTAACTGCGTCATAAAACTATAGTGAGTGTTGTGGTTTACCCGAGTAACTGCGTCATAAAACTATAGTGAGTGTTGAGGTTTACCCTAGTAACTGCGTCCTAAAACTATAGTGAGTGTTGAGGTTTACCCTAGTAACTGCGTCCTAAAACTATAGTGAGTGTTGTGGTTTACCCTAGTAACTGCGTCCTAAAACTATAGTGAGTGTTGAGGTTTACCCTAGTAACTGCGTCCTAAAACTATAGTGAGTGTTGTGGTTTACCCTAGTAACTGCGTCCTAAAACTATAGTGAGTGTTGAGGTTTACCCTAGTAACTGCGTCATAAAACTATAGTGAGTGTTGTGGTTTACCCTAGTAACTGCGTCATAAAACTATAGTGAGTGTTGTGGTTTACCCTAGTAACTGCGTCCTAAAACTATAGTGAGTGTTGAGGTTTACCCTAGTAACTGCGTCATAAAACTATAGTGAGTGTTGAGGTTTACCCTAGTAACTGCGTCATCAAACTAAAGTGAGTGTTGTGGTTTACCCTAGTAACTGCGTCATAAAACTATAGTGAGGTTTGTGGTTTACCCGAGTAACTGCGTCATAAAACTATAGTGAGTGTTGTGGTTTACCCTAGTAACTGCGTCATAAAACTATAGTGAGTGTTGAGGTTTACCCCAGTAACTGCGTCCTAAAACTATAGTGAGTGTTGTGGTTTACCCGAGTAACTGCGTCATAAAACTATAGGGAGTGTTGTGGTTTACCCGAGTAACTGCGTCCTAAAACTATAGTGAGTGTTGTGGTTTACACTAGTAACTGCGTCATAAAACTATAGTGAGTGTTGAGGTTTACCCTAGTAACTGCGTCCTAAAACTATAGTGTGTGTTGAGGTTTACCCTAGTAACTGCGTCATCAAACTAAAGTGAGTGTTGTGGTTTACCCTAGTAACTGCGTCATAAAACTATAGTGAGGTTTGTGGTTTACCCTAGTAACTGCGTCCTAAAACTATAGTGAGTGTTGAGGTTTACCCTAGTAACTGCGTCATAAAACTATAGTGAGGTTTGTGGTTTACCCTAGTAACTGCGTCATAAAACTATAGTGAGTGTTGAGGTTTACCCGAGTAACTGCGTCCTAAAACTATAGTGAGTGTTGTGGTTTACCCGAGTAACTGCGTCCTAAAACTATAGTGAGTGTTGTGGTTTACCCTAGTAACTGCGTCCTAAAACTATAGTGAGTGTTGTGGTTTACCCGAGTAACTGCGTCCTAAAACTATAGTGAGTGTTGTGGTTTACACTAGTAACTGCGTCATAAAACTATAGTGAGTGTTGAGGTTTACCCTAGTAACTGCGTCATAAAACTATAGTGAGGTTTGTGGTTTACCCGAGTAACTGCGTCATAAAACTATAGTGAGTGTTGTGGTTTACCCTAGTAACTGCGTCATAAAACTATAGTGAGTGTTGAGGTTTACCCGAGTAACTGCGTCCTAAAACTATAGTGAGTGTTGTGGTTTACCCGAGTAACTGCGTCATAAAACTATAGTGAGTGTTGTGGTTTACCCGAGTAACTGCGTCCTAAAACTATAGTGAGTGTTGTGGTTTACACTAGTAACTGCGTCATAAAACTATAGTGAGTGTTGAGGTTTACCCTAGTAACTGCGTCCTAAAACTATAGTGTGTGTTGAGGTTTACCCTAGTAACTGCGTCATCAAACTAAAGTGAGTGTTGTGGTTTACCCTAGTAACTGCGTCATAAAACTATAGTGAGGTTTGTGGTTTACCCTAGTAACTGCGTCATAAAACTATAGTGAGTGTTGAGGTTTACCCGAGTAACTGCGTCCTAAAACTATAGTGAGTGTTGTGGTTTACCCGAGTAACTGCGTCCTAAAACTATAGTGAGTGTTGTGGTTTACACTAGTAACTGCGTCATAAAACTATAGTGAGTGTTGAGGTTTACCCTAGTAACTGCGTCCTAAAACTATAGTGAGTGTTGAGGTTTACCCTAGTAACTGCGTCATAAAACTATAGTGTGTGTTGAGGTTTACCCTAGTAACTGCGTCATAAAACTATAGTGTGTGTTGAGGTTTACCCTAGTAACTGCGTCCTAAAACTATAGTGAGTGTTGAGGTTTACCCTAGTAACTGCGTCATAAAACTATAGTGAGTGTTGAGGTTTACCCTAGTAACTGCGTCATAAAACTATAGTGAGTGTTGTGGTTTACCCTAGTAACTGCGTCATAAAACTATAGTGAGTGTTGAGGTTTACCCTAGTAACTGCGTCATAAAACTATAGCGAGTGTTGAGGTTTACCCGAGTAACTGCGTCCTAAAACTATAGTGAGTGTTGAGGTTTACCCTA